GCTTCTGATTGTGGCATCCCTGCTTAATGGTGAATTGGGGTGTAAACATTCTCTTCCTTGCACCCAGACCTCCTTCACCCAATGCAGTCACTGGCTTGTAAGATGTATTGGGGTGGCATTTATGTAGTCTTACAATAAGACTATGCAATGACATACTTTATTTATATTCCGCTTTATCTCCCCAGAGGAACTCAAAGTGGATTATAGTATACATATAAGGCAAACATTCAATTCCTTTTGCACAGTGATCAATGACATACAATACACAGGCAAGGTAAAGGCCTTTTCCTTTTCATCTCCGTCATCTGGAGGCGATACTCAACTCGTGCCATGGAGAGGTGCTCTTGTTCCATTTTTTCATGCCGAGGAGCCTGCCGTCCATGGACATCTCCGATCTTGCAGAGCCCCCGGTGGAGCAGTGGGTTAAACCCTTGTGCCGGCAGGACTGAAGACTGACAGGTTGCAGGTTCAAATCCAGGGAGAGGCGGATGAGCTCCCTCTATCAGCTCCAGCTCCTCATGCGGGGACATGAGAGAAGCCTCCCACAAGGATGATAAAAACATCAAATTATCTGGGCGTCCCCTGGGCAACGTCCTTGCAGACGGCCAATTCTCTCACACCAGAAGTGACTTGCAGTCGCTCCTGACACGACAAAAAAAATCTCTGATCTTGTTGCTGGCATGTCTACATGTCTATTGATCTACTTGCATTGCATGCTTTTGAACTGCTAGGTTGGCAGAAGCTAGGGCTGATAATTGGAAGCTCACCCCGACTTGCGGCTTAAAACTGCTAAGCCTCTGGTTAGCGGCTTTTCCTGCAGCTAGTGGTTTAGCCTGCTGTGCTACTGCAGCCCAATAGTCTTAGGGCCCTTCCACACAGTTTTATATTCCAGAAGATCAAGGCAGAAAATCCCACGATATCTGCTTTGAACTGGGTTATCTGAGTCCACATTCAGATAATGTGGGATTTTCTGCCTTGATATTCTGGGATGTGTGGACTGAATTCAGAGTAGTTAGGGAAGTGTAACTTTAGGTCACTGCTTTTTAAAGTGTGGGTCCCAGCCCCAAATATTTATTTATTTTATTTATTTACAATATGTTTATCCTGCTTCTCAAGCCGAAGGCAACTCAAGGAGACTTACAAATTGGCAGCCATTCGATGCCATAACAGTCCACAATATATACAATTAAAACATCATTATAAAAACAATATAAAAAACATAAAAAACATATAATAACCAAATTCTTCATGTTAATCTCATTTTCCAGTAGTATCATCTAAGCCGTTCCATGTTTCAAATTTACATAATTCCATGTTTGTCTTCAAACAGTAACACCAGGATGTATTCTTCAGGAAGAACAATAGAGGAGGAAAAATGCTGAATAGTTGAAGTGTGTTTGATCAGTTAAAAATAAACATGTAAACAAAAGGTTGCCTCCAGTTTTAGTTCATCTTAAAGTAAGTCCTCTGAAATGAATAAGCGCTTTAAGAATTACTAAGTCTGAATCCAACTCAAGGGCCTCATCTACACTGCTATATAAAATCCGGATTATCTGCTTTGAACTGGATTATAAGGCAGCGTAGACTCATATAAAGCAGATGATGTGGAATGTGGATTATCTGCTTTGATAATCAGGATTATATGGCAGCATAGAAGGGGTCAAGACCTTTCCAAATTTTTATACTTAAAAACTTATTGTATAACTGTGTGAAACAATCTTCATAACAATATCTAAATGACTACAAGCAACTGTTTAACAGTAAAGGAAGACGTGCTTCTGAATGTGAATAATTTCTGTGTATTAATTAATTTTCTTTGTTTGATTTCCAGCTACAGCTATAATAGCAGATGGTGAGTGTTTTAACATATAATTTGTCCCATTTAAACCTCTTCGGTGAACACAAGTTGATTTTTTTTTACATTGTTGAGAGTTTGTAGGAAAAATCAGAAGGGATGCTGCTATAGGTCATGATAAAGCTGTCCCAAACTTCTTTAGTTCACTCCTTGCATTAGTTCGTTGAGAACCCCATTAGGGTTCAATCAGGGGGGAGAAACAGCACATACATGGTATCTTTCCAATCGAATGTTTTCCCAGTGTTTTGGATGGCTACACTCACTAGTCCAGCTAATATATAGGGTGCTTAGGTAAAGGTAAAGGTTTTCCCTTGACATTAAGTCCAGTCATGTCCGACTCTGGGGTGTGGTGCTCATCTCCATTTCTAAGCTGAAGAGCCAGCATTGTCTGTAGACACCTCCAAGGTCATGTGGCCAGCATGACTGCATGGAGCGCCATTTAGGAGTGTTTAGGAGTCATGAAATTCCACTCTAAAACCTCAGGAAGCCACCAGGGGCCCTTCCACACAGCCCTATATCACATAATATCAAGGTAGAAATTCCCAGAATATCTGCTTTAACTGGGTTATCTGAATCCACACTCAGATAATGTGGGATTTTCTGCCTTGATATTCTGTGTTATAGGGCTGTGTGGAAGGGCCCCAGGTTGAAAAAGAAAGTCTTAGGTTCCTAGATAAGAGTTTTTTTTGGATGGCCAGGTAGGGTTTTTAATAGTTTACCTGGCCAGTGTATCTCTGGGGGCCCTTCCATACAGATCGATCATCGATCTATCATCAATCTATCTATCCATTTGCTAACTTAAAACAATACATTACAAAAAGAGAACTTGCTAGTTGCAGGCATCTTTCTGGGGTCTTTAAAGTCTCTTTTACCTCTGGTGCCAAAGTGATGGTTAGGAACTGCCTTAATCTTCTTTCCTGTGAAGCCTGGCTGGCCAAAATCTTTTTTCTGCCCTTTGGACTGTTGGTAAAAAAGACTTCTAAATGTAGTAGCAGGAGAAAGTGCTAAGAATGCCTGGTTGACTGCTAGGCCTAAGATTCCAGGCCTTTAAGGCTCTACATCAGAAAAGAGGAGGAGTCCAGCAAAGAGATCTGTGGGGAGATGGAACAAACCAACCGAGGCAGGCCTCTGAGGAGTGTTTTAGGCTCCACCCAAAAACTAATACATCAGGAAGGTCTATACCAGGGGTCCTCAAACTAAGGCCCTAGGGTCGGATACGGCCCTCCAAGGTCATTTACCCGGCCCTCGCTCAGGGTCAACCTAAGTCTGAAACGACTTGAAAGCACACAACAACAACCATAATCCTATCTCATCAGCCAAAAGCAGGCCCATACTTCCTATTGAAATACTAATATGTTTATATTTGTTAAAATTGTTCTTAATTTTAATTATTGTATTGCATTTAAGTGTTTTTTGCACTATAAATAAGATATGTGCAGTGTGCATAGGAAGTCATTCATTTTTTTTTCAAATTATAATACGGCCCTCCAACAGTTTGAAGGACTGTGACTTGGCCCTCTGTTTAAAAAGTTTGAGGACCCCTGGTCTGCACTATTGGAAAAGCCTATAAACAGGGGAAACTGAAGCAAAGGAGGAGGAGAAGGCAAAGCCAAGACTTCACATATTTCATTTAAAAGCAATTATAATGAAATGTGCAGCTAGTCTTCATTTACTTAGGTAATACAATAGGACTCCATGTTTGCTAATGTTAGGGGTGCAAGACTCCCGTGAAGGTGAAAAAAATGAATATAAAAGAAACACTTCTATACTTATGCAAGGATTGTCTAGTTCCTCCAGCATGACTATCTGACCAATTGCTAGAGGACTTATTGATTCCTAAAGAGAACATATGAATCAAATCCGCAAATAATCAATTTTTCAAATGTGGAGGACTGGGTGCTTTTAAAACTTCAACTGTATACAAATATCAAAACTAATATTCAACCTCTAAGTGATATATATTAACTGATTTTTTCTGTCTTTTAAAAGAAATCTACGTACGGCTGGGAAGCGGTGGCGTTAATAATTGTTCTGGTCATATTGAAGTCTACTACTTTGGTGACTGGACTGGCGTTTGCTCTGAATACTTTAATCTCATCGATGCTGGAGTTGTTTGTAGGCAGCTTGGCTGTGGCCAGGCAATTGACACCATCACAGAGTATGCCGGGAATGTTTATCCTTACTTGAGCAATGTGGAATGTCGGGGAGATGAAGACGCCCTGTGGCAGTGCTCTTTTCAAGAAGGAGGATGTAACAGTGACACACTTGCCGGTGTGCTTTGTTCAGGTATAACACTACATTTTTGGCTTCTGAAGACAAAGTCTTCAACATTCACAAACAGAAAGCTAGAAATCTAGAAATACAAAAATTAAAGAAAATTCAACATTTCATTTGGAGGATATTTTGGCTTCCAATCCTACTTTTTAGAACAGACTGGGCTCTCCTCTCTCTCTCTCTCTCTCTCTCTCTCTACACACATGCACACACACACACACAATATGCAGATTTTGTGTGGGCTGTCTCTATTAGAATTACTAGCAAGAACATTATTCTTGCATTTGATATAAACAGTAATGTTTAATGTCTTGTCAAAGGCTTTCATGGCTGGAATCACTGGGTCGTTGTGAGTTTTCCGGGCTGTACATACAGCCTGGAAAACTCACAACGACCCAGTATTGTTTAACTTAGTTTCATTCCTGTACCAGTCAATTAGGATTCCAGTTAATCTGCAGTTGCCTACTCAAGAGGCCATAACAATTTGCTCTTAAATAATCAAGTGCTTCATATTTTTCTGGCACTGTTTTTATTTAGAGCAGAGGTCCTCAAACTTTTTAAACAGAGGGCCAGGTCACAGTGCCTCAAACAGTTGGAGGGCCAGATTATAATTTGAAAAAAAAAATATGAATTCCTATGCACACTGCACATATCTTATTTGTAGTGCAAAAAAACACACTTAAAAACAATACAATAATTAAAATGAAGAACAATTTTAACAAATATAAACTTATTAGTATTTCAATGGGGAGTGTGGATCTGCTTTTGGCTGATGAGATAGGGCCCAGTAAATGACCTTGGAGGGCTGTATCCAGCCCCCGGGCCTTAGTTTGAGGGCCCCTAATGTAGAGTATTTATTTTCTGTTCCTCAGCAACAAAGACTCTCAGAAGAGCTTCCCAAATCTGGAAGTTTCCTTATCTGAAGTTTACAATCTAAAATATGGCATGACGCACAAGAAAAAAAAGGAATATTTGCTTTAGAAATGTGAGCCATTCTATCTATTGACTCTTGGGAGCAGTAAACTTCACGTGTTCATCCATCCCAAAAAATGAAGAGTGAAGCTGAAGGCAGCACCAGGTGCATTGTCTTCAACTACGTGGCTTTACTTTTTTCCCTACTGGAGTAAATGACAACCATTCACTTATAACCCAATCTTAATTGCAGGTGTGGAGCCTATGTGGGAGAGATTTGTCCCAGGTCACCAGAGACAGAGGACATGTTTAACCAAGTGCACCAATTTACTTCCTTTATTATAAGGCCCCTTTCACACAGCTGAAAAAAAATCCCATGTTATCTGCTTTGAACTGGAGTATATGGCAGTGTTGACTCAGATAACCCAGTTCAAAGCAGATATTGTGGATCATCTGCCTTGATATTATGGGTGAATGACTGCCATTTAATCCAATAGGAAAAACTTATAGCTCCAACTATAAGAAAAAACATTTAATATTTTGAAAGAGTACAGTGTCCCCTCACTATTTTGCAGTTCGCTTTTAGCGGACTCACTCTTTCATGTGTTTTTGAAAATATTAATAAAAATATAAAATATAAAATATTTTATTATAATAAAATAAATAAATAAATAAATAAATACAATATTTACGTCCAGTGGGGGCCAGGCACCGCGGAAGTATGGCAGCCTGAGGCACGACGGGGAAGGCCTGCCTCCCTGGCCTCCACCTGAAGTGTGTGTTCTGTGTGATGTGTGTGGTGTGTCAGATGTGGGGAGGGGAGAAGGAAGGGGAGGGGAGGGAGGGGGAGGGAGGGAGGGGGAGGGAGGGGGAGGGGAGGGAGGGGGGGGGGGGGGGAGGTGGCAGCCTGAGGCACGACGGGGAAGGCCTGCCTCCCTGGCCTCCACAGACCTCGGAAGTGCAGCGGCCTGAGGTGCGGCGGGGAAGGCCTGCGGAGGCCAGGGAGGCAGGCAGGTGCCCTTGGGTTGGGCCAGGAGGCAGATAAGGAAGCGCAGGTAAGAAAATAATATATAAAATATATAAAATAATGTATAAATATTAAAAATTAATATGGTGTCCCTACTTCGTGGATTTTCACATACCGCTGGTGGTCCTGGAACGGAACCTCCGCAATAAGTGAGGGAACACTGTACTATATATCAGCTTGATCAGACAACTGATACAATACATGCAAAATGCCTCACGTTTATTCATACTTCACATTTGTTTCTGCAGTACCAATACTAGGTAATTCATAAAATGTGCAAAACATACTATTTAAATACATTCATTAATTTTTATATAAGCTTTCACATTGACCCCAGCTGTATATAAAAGACTATTTGAGAAGGGGTTGGGGGTTGTAACCATTCCACGAACCATCCCCCATGTCCCACAGAGACAATTACAAAATGAAATATGACCTGTGAGAATTATACTTTAGTCATGAAATCTAAATAGTTGTGTAATTCATCATGAATGTGATCATGCATATGTGTTTTCATTGTTGAAAAAAACCCCCGAAGTATTGTAAGGATTTCTGTCATAAAGTCAATAAAAGTGACAGCAGACCGAACAGTCTAGATTTCATGTCCGAACAGAAATCTAAGTAGATTATTGGCGGTAACAGCTGCAGATAGTATAGCCAGTATTTTCTGTCATTTTAACATCTATCAGATCCTCCTTTCCATGTGTGTTTGGCCTAAGTTAAATGATAACAAATTATTTTTTTGACATAAGACTTTTTATTTGGACTGAGAAAACTGAATTGCATTGTAATTGACAGAATTACAGTGTCATCTGCGTCACTATCTGCTATCTAATAAGTTATATTTATTCACTGACAGGTTCTGGTTTATCACCAACACCAACACCAGGTAATTAAAAAATTCAAACAGTTTATGACCATGATAAAAGACTGGGAATCTCATCGATACTTCTGCATTTGGTTGACAGTGTTTTTTTTATAATATTTGAAAAGTCTTTTCCCAACCAAGGTAGAACAAGTTTCCCATGCAAAGGCATGTTGGCTACTTCCAACTTCATGACTCACCACCATGGAAGGGTCTGAACAGAGAGAGAGTTGAATTTATTCCTACTCATAACTAGAAAAATTGCTACTATCAACACGAAGAGTTTTGTTTGGTAGATCATGTTTAAATGTGAATGAAAGAAGAACACAGTCAACATAATTTATCATGGTTGTAGATTTACTTTGATTAAACTAGTTGGCAGTTGCAAAGTTAACTTTTTAAGTAAATATTTGACAACGTAAAAATGTTGGACAACCAAACCCCAGATAAATTAGTTGTAACTCCTCAAAGAGAATAGCTTTAATATTCTTTCCAGTTGGTCTTGGCTGATTTGGTTTTTCAAACTAGAAATTACATGAATAATGCTTCAGTGGCATGGTCCAGGATTTTTATACCAAATATGGGTGTCCACAAAGCTTGCAGTTGGGCTCTAGCATTGATAGAATGAAACCTTAATTTCATAGTTATAAGAATATGTGCAGACACCAGGCTTCATGACCAGTTAACGCAAGGCACCTAAATGGGAATCTGAGTGTTGGAATTCGGCACAAAAATGAAGCACTTTGCCCAGACTGCCCAAAGGTATAACAAATATAGGAAGGAGAGACTGAAAGTTCTTTCCTTCAAGACTTCAAATACAACACCTAACCAAGACCAGAACTCCGTTCTTTCATATGGTTATACAAGGAAACTGTGCAGCACTAAAGGATAGCTGAGTTTAGGCCTTAAAACAATGGTTCTCAACCTGTGGGTCCCCAGATATTTTGGCCTTAAACCCCTAGAAATCCTAACAGCTGGTAAACTGGCTGAGATTTCTGGGAGTTGTAGGCCAAAACTCCTGGGGACCCACAGGTTGAGAACCACTGCCGTAAAGTGTGACTTTGGCAAATGTTCCCTGGATTTTTTGCTCTGCATTTCCTGGTACATATGAGATTTGAGGTTGGAAAGAGCCATGTTGTGGCCCGATGATTGCATGTCTTGTTCCAGTGTGTGCTTGTGAGTAGAGCTGACCTCAGGAATATGAAGGCTGGTGTTTTTTTCTGTTTCTTTTCCTTTCTCTTTTTTGGCCTTTTTGTAGGTAAGAAACCAAAAAGCTCTCTGTGCAGCATGCTTAGTACAATTACCACTTCCCCCAAACATATCCTGATTCACACCATAATGTTCTTTTCCACACTGCAATTGTTCCTATGAAAAAGCTATTGTAAGGTTACTGTTGTGGAACATATCATATTTGCTGTTGTATGCCTCCAAGTCATTTATGTCCTAAGGCAACCTGATGGGGAACGTATCACAGGAGTCAGAGGCTTTTGCTATTAACTTCTGGGTTTTGTGGCCAAGTGGGGATTTGAATTCTGGTCTCCAGAACTGTAATCCAACACTCAAACTGCAACACTATGTTGCCCCTTAAATATATGATTGCTTTCTTCCATTTTAGGAGGGGGGATCTCCTCACTATTCTTCATCCTTGGTCTGTCCATATTTGCCAATCAAAGGAAGTTGTTTCTTACAAACAGTACTGAGTGGGAAGTAATGCAGATAACTATTTAAAACATCACTTTTTTTGTAATGATGGTGCAGAAAAGTTATAGATCAATGAGTAACAGCACTGGTTATTTTAAAAAGAGAATCTAAAGCAACATTTTTTCAAGCTCTGTGCCATTTTTTAATTCATGTTTTACAAAGAGCAAAAAAGCAAGAAGTAAACTGAGCCATGTTCCAAAATGTGTAGTGAATAAATGACATGAATAACATTAATGAATTATTCTAAAAGTAATTTTCCATGTGCTGGTCAGTGACCGTAACAAAGTTTTGTATTGTATTGTAATTTTCCAACCTCAGATTACAGGCTACATGTTTTTAGGATGAAAAATTCAGATCTTTGCTTGCAGAGAAAAGTGATGTGCATTAACTACCAATAGGTCACTGGCAGTTGCATGAATGGCATATATGCAGATCTGGCCCTATTATAAGTCAACAAGGTGGCATTAAGACTTTTGTGTGCTATTGTAATGCTTGGATGGGTTTATTCTATACCTGGTTTCTGTGGGAAAGTTGTTGACATACAGGATTGGAAGTTGGTTCATTTACTGTTTCCACCAATGCTGGAGAAGTCTCTTTTGTGTTAATACACCAAACTAGTTAGTGATTCTGATTTCTCTTTTCTGTTTATATGCTGTTAGTTTGAAGGATTGTAGTTGTTGTGGCATTGTTACGATGTTTCCTTAACAGTTCTCTTGGTAAGATTTGTTCAAAGGAAGTTTGCCATTGCTTTCCTTTAAGGCCAAGAGAGAGGGACTTGTTCAAGATTACCTAGTGGATTTTCATGGCTAAATGAAGACTAAAACTTTGGTATCCTATACTCATCCAGTATTCAAACCACTTCACTATACTGACTTTGACATCTGTCTTATTTGGCATCTTTATATTTTATGAGTTGATTTAGGAACCCAAACTTCTTGTTATATACTACAAATTAAGCTACAAATTAGTAAAACCATTTATAGTATTAATAGCAGTTACTAAAAATAACCATACTTTTCCTTTTTAGATCCCAGCTCATAGCACTCTTACTTTGAAAAGATGTTATGCTAAGTTTATTATGGCTATCATAAATCAGCTTATATTTCATGTCACTGATGACAATGGAACATTTCATAAATAATCCATTTGACACAGTACAACATCTGTCCTGAGGGACAGGGAACCTATGATTTTATTTACTCATGTTTGACAAAATGTCCTCTTTAGGCCTTTTCTATGGTATGCTTCCATCAGATATTGACAATAAATTGGTGCTGGAGAACCTAGCAATGCCTAGACAGATATTCTCCCAAGGTATTTCCAGTGCAACTCTTTGGTATGCTTATGTCAGAAATCAATCATTCAATAGGGTTTACTCCACCTGCAGTTTTGTGTATGCATGTAAATCCTGGAACAGATCCCCCAAATATATGCCAGTCATACTGTACTGAAAATCTCAGCTGAATATGAAAAGGCATCACATGAAAAAATATCTTAATTTACCAGCAGATTCATCTATTTCTTTGTACTAACACATAGCTTTTATGTTCTTGATATGAGAATCAACTACATGTAAACGTGGCAGCTTGTTCAGAAATATGAACATCAACCCTAACTTTTTTGTTGCACTCTTAGTGCTCGGTCTTTGTGGTGGTCATCTCTATAATCCATCTGGACTTTTTGTCAGTCCAAACTATCCTGCTGTATATCCAAATAATGTACGCTGTATTTGGGAAATCCATGCTGAGCATGATAACTACATAAATCTCATCTTTGACTATCTTGAGTAAGTGATAAATATTTTGGGATTTCTTTTTCCTTTTGACACTTTAAACATGATGTTAACACTTACTGATTTTAACTGACCTGCATGCATTACATTGCTATAGGATTGGCGTTAATGTGCTACCTATAGTTAATGCTTTAATATATGGAGTTCTTAAGCAACTGTCTAGATGCTGTCTACCGCAAATGTCCACTGCAACAGTGCAGATGCTCTTAAAGCTGAGTGTAAACCTAATGAGTAAGGCATTTATTTGTGTGCCACAGAATTGAGCCAAAACAGTTTACTCATAGCATACCACTCACTTTGCACATAGAGAATGTCAAGTTCAGTCCCTGAAACCCTGAAGAGCCCAAATGGGTTCTGTTCACAAGGCTGGGTAGCATTCACTGTTCAGATAGCTTGAACTTCAATTCTCAAATGTTTATGACAAACCAAAAAGTGATAGGGAATTATGGAAATTGTAGTCCAAATGATTTGGACTGGAGCTTTTCCCTGTCATGATCTACAATATTCTATCATTTCTCCATTTTAAAAAGATTTTAATTTTTTGTGTTTTATTACAACAGGACAAAGTATTTAGTAGTTTCTAACTTTACATTTACAGCCTGGAGCCACATACTCTCTGCTCTTATGATTATGTTGAAATCTATGATGGGCAACCCTATGTAGCTCCTTTGCTAGGAAGAATTTGCATTTGGGGCCATCAAACATTTATTTCTAAGTCAAACACAATGTCAGTTGTGTTTACAAGTGATACTAGTTACCAAAGCACTGGATTTCAAGCTCATTATTTTCCTGTTCCTCAAGGTAAGAACTATCACAACAAATGTCCCAACAAAGTTAATGTCATTCAAGACCATGCATTATTTTGTTTATTTTTTGCCATTAAAAATGCCTTTTAACAAAATAAATTATATTAAAGCAGATACTCTCACCCCGCTGACATTTAGAATTGGAATCTCTTTCTGCCCAAGCCATTCATTGCTTAATGCAAATAAAGTTATCCTCTGGCCCACTGACCACTTAAAATTTGCAGGATTTCTCTTATGGTCCCCTAATGAGGAACCGACAGGTCACAGGTTTGAATCCGGGGAGAGGCGGATAAGCTCCCTCTATCAACTTCAGCTCCTCATGCGGGGACAGGAGAGAAGCCTCCCACAAGGATGATAAAAGAACAAATCACCCGGGCATCCCCTGGGCAGCGTCCTTGCAGATGGCCAATTCTCTCACACCAGAAGCGACTTGCAGTTTCTCAAGTCGCTTCTGACAAGACAAAAAATGATCCCCTAATGTTTCCTGATATTTCCACAAATTTCCCAGTTGTTCCCAATGTACAGCACCAAAAATTCAAATCTATGTTTATTCACATGCATGTAAAATGCCTTGCCAGAGGTCCTACAAACTACAACTTCTCACAGTTGCAATTTGTGACCACGCAGTGAGCTCCAAGTATATAGTAATGAAATACTATTGTTCGTCTTCATCTGGAGGAGTAGATTCTGAGTAAATCAGGATGCCTGCTGTAACAACAAACATTTTGTCCATGCACGTCATTGCATGCACAGGATGCACAGGATTGTTTCACATGGCTGGAGAATAGGTTGTGGTAGAATTCACCATGATTACTTCGCATGTTCTCTTATATGCTTGAGAAGATCTAGTAGATACCTTCCCATGTCTATGGTATATAAACCAACATGTTAGCATTGGTAGCTATGGGATGGTGAAATGAAGGCATAGCCACTCCCAGCTACAAATTCTGAGGTAGAAAGACTGTTGGTGTGTAATTATTCATTTTTGCTCTCTCCATAGTGACTCCTCTGTGCTCATCTGAAGTCTGCTGCTTCATTTCTGAGATCCCATATTTCTTTTAGGTTGCTTTGGGCTCATTCATGCTGTGGGTTACACAGCCTTAAAATGGCTCATAGAGATTTCTTCAGGAAAATTAATATGAAGAAACGAGAGAAAACTTACTTTTTAAACATTGTAATGAGCAACAGCAATGCATTTCAAGTCCTGATAACTATTACAAGTATCTGAGACCTAGCCTAAAAGGAACCACACTTTGTGTCTCTCTTATGCAGGGACAGAATTCAACTAGAGAGCTGTCTAGTGCTAATTCTTCATATCACTCCAAATAAACAACTTATCTTGTGTATCATTAGCCAGTTCATCCTTTATAAGACAGATGTCGATTAAATTTCAAACTAAATATTTCAACAATATTTAATATCTAAATATGTACAATACTATATATTACCCATTACATTATTGATCTTTTCTTGTAGAGACAGAAATAATTTGTTCCATTCTCATAAGTTATTGAGTATAGTATAGTTAAAACTCTGTGAGAGCGCAAATAATGTTGCCAATTTTATTAGCCCCCCCCCCCCGCAATCTGCACCGTTACTGCTTAAGCATTTCAAAGTGGAAACAAACCGATGTTTACCAAGTTGTTTCCTATTGTCTTTCAAAGACGTGTCTTTAAGACTGGTGAATGGATCGAACAGATGTGAGGGCCGTGTTGAACTTTATTACAGAGGAGAATGGGGAACAGTTTGTGGTGATTACTGGGACATGGAAGATGCCCAGGTTGTGTGCAGGCAGTATGGATGTGGAGATGCCTCTTCAGCTCCAAGACATGCCCATTTTGGTCAAGGATCAGGATCTATCCTCCTTGATGATGTGGACTGTAGAGGAAATGAGTCTCACCTGTGGGACTGCAGAAGCCTAGGGTGGCATTCACATAACTGTGGCCATGGTGAAGATGCCAGTGTCATCTGCACAGGTATTTTCTGATTTTGTTTCCTGCACATGTCTGTCTGTATATTTATTTATTGTCTCTGCAATAACAATAGTTCTAGATGCGCAATATGTGATATGAAAAGAATAATGCACAAGGATTTCATATAGAGCTGTATAAAGTTGCCACTTCAGATCTACGAGCAGTTAATTTCCCCCCATATTTGGCCTAAACTCTGATCAGGGGGCCATCTCATGATGACATATGAAGTAATCAAGGACAATACTTGTTCTGATTAATATCCTGCAGAGATAGTAAATGGATTTCTCTTCTAACTGGCTATATTGTCTGTTTCCAATCCCGCAAAGAGAAAAGAGTGAGGCAGGGTCATGACTGACATTTAAGACATGTATCCCTTCACTGACACATGGTAGGGTTGACTATGTTTGTAAGATGGGGAAGCTGTGGATAACTCTTTCTGCACCATATGGTATCCACTACAATTTCTTGTGGCACAATGAAGGAATATTTAATGGATGTGAAGGGACATGTACTGGAGTTAAATATGGGGGAGTCAATCTTTGAGTCAGGAGCCATGCTTCTTGATGGGTCCTCTCTTCCTCTACTAATTATATGGAGCTAGTTGTTCTTTCATTCTAAGTTGTAGAAAAGAGCTTGATGAACTGGATTCTCACACTGGAAAGCATTATCTCCTCTCACTTTATTTGTAACAGGAATTCTGAGGTTAAAATTGTACCTGAGTTGTCAAGATTTAGCAAGTGTTAGTAAGAGCTTCCTATATATCAGACATGGATAAATTTTTTCACCCTGGGGCTGCCTTGTGGGTCCGGTTGGAAGGGCTAGGACGGGAGGGAGTTTGGGTGGGGCCAGAAGAGGTGAGGTCATGGGAGGGAAGGGGCAAGGTCAGGGTTGGAAGGGGCAGAGATGGGCTAGAAGAGGTGGGGCCAGGGCCAGAAGGGGTGAGATTGGGGCAGAAGGGCAGGGCTGGTCTTCAGAGGGGCTGGGACTGGGAGAGAGAAGGCAGCGGTCCTCCTTTCCCAGGCCCAGAAGAGGGAGAGAAACACACTGCTGTCAAGCACACTTGGTAACAGTGTGTTTGTTCCCTGGCTCTTCTCTAGGCTCTGGGAAGGCAGTGACCTGCCTTCCCCCGGTCTCAGGGGAGAGAAACAAACACACTGCTTCTGAATGCTCTTCAGAGAGCACTTAGCAGAGGTGTATCTCTGCCTTGACTCTCTCAGCCTGGAGATGTGGTGAAGAGTTGAAAGGATTGCATCCGGCTCTTAGGCCTGGATTTGCCCATGCCTGCTATATACTCTAGTTGGAAGGGTTTTCATTCTTGTGCACTTATTATTATTCACAATGTATACTCACATATTCACTCACTTATGCAAACATACTCACACATGCAGTCTTTACACACAGACATCTGTTTGTGTGTGTATATATGTTGGCCTGCATTCTTTCATTCATCTTATTCAGTGAGATTTACCTTGTTGACTCAGCATTCAACAATTGACCCAATGGGACTAACCAATAGTCAGACACACAATCTCCCTTCCCACTCCATACATATAAGGAGTGGGAAGGGAGTGTGTTTGGGTGTGTGTATAAAGTGAATATGTACCATAAGCAGGAGCCCCCAGTAGCATAGTGGGTTAAAGCGCTGAGTTGCTGAGCTTGTTGACCAAAAGATTGCAGGTTTGAATCCAGGGAGCGGGGTGAGCTTCTGCTGTCAGCCCCAGATTCTGCCCACCTGGCAGTTCGAAAGATGTGAATGTGAGTAGATCACTAACTCTGGCGGGAAGGTAACGGTGCTCCATGCAGTCATGCCGGCCACATGACCTTGGAGGTTTCTATGGACAATGTTGGCTCTCCGGCTTAGAAATGGATATGAGCACCACAGCCCAGAGTCGGACACAACTGGACTTAATGTCAGGGGAAAACCTTTACCTACCTACCTTTAGGTAAAGGTAAAGGTTGTGCTTTAACCCACTGCGCCACCGGGGGCCCCTACCTACCTTTACCTATGTCATAAGCAGCTTTGAGCATTCTTAAAGGAAAAATGGAGCTGAAATATTTCCAGTATATTATACAAACAAACATGGCTGGCTATTGCCGGTTGTAAATGTTCCCTTTTTTTGCATTATGCCTTTTCACCAGAGTTTTGCCATCGCCAAAGTCCCCCTTAGTGTCTTTTAAGCAATAGAATGCACCTCTGTTTTCAACTATGGGAAGGAGGATGATTTTTTTACATTACATTTTAATTGTATTTGTTGTGTTTAAACTGTATTTTTAACCTACCACACGCACACACAGGCAGTGCTCTTAAATTGTTTTTAATTTTTGTATTTACTTTGTTCTATTGATCAAAGACTGTGGCTGTTAGCCTCCGTTAGACGCTTGGGGAGAAAGATAGAATATAAATAAAGTAAATAACAATAACAATAATATATTCACATTAAGCAGGGTCATAACCAGCAATGAAAATTCTGGAAGAGCAACAGTTTCAGAAAAGAGTTATTGAAGTATATATTGTTATTTCTCTATAAATTTTTCATACTTATTCTTCTGACGTAATTCTCTTGATGATCAAATTCTCCCCATCCCTTTAATTTCTTTTTATATATACTGGATATTTCTAAAAGTTTTGATATGGCCGATGGGCTAATCAATAACACATATGTGTAATGTGTACACTGGATATTTAATAAACATATTCACCTAACCTAAACAAATATGTCTTCAGCTTCTATTTATGTTGTCTTTGCAGGTATAACTGTTCCTGATACCCCTCCACCTACAGGTAAATTAAATATGTTTGTGATAGGCGGGAGTATGGGGTGGTTGTTTAGTGCTAGTTTATTGAGGTACCTTTGAGAAATAAAATATCTTTTAGGGCTGGATCTTCAAAATGAATGAATGTTTGGAAAAACAATCAATCAGGTTTCACATGGATAAGTTCATTTTTCAGATGCTTCCACAACTTTAAGTACCACATATGTCAGCTGCCTTGATATCATATATTTTCTTCCTTGGGTTTTTAATCTTTACATGTCTATTATACTTTGATGATTTGATTTAGATCAAATAAATAGGAGGCACCTAAAATGTAGAATTACTACAGTTTCACACCTTTAACTGATAATACTATGGAACCAGTTCTCCTTGGCAGAGGAGGATAAAGACCACCTAAAACCACAGCTCTCATGATTTAGTAGCAATAAACCATGGCAGTTAAAATGTAATGTGTCAAACAGCATTAATTCTGCAACCAAGGCTTCATCTGTATTGTCATATAGTGTAGATACCAAACTACAGACAGTCCCCGAATTACTAACAAATGACTTAAATGACTCGTAGTGTACCAATTAAAATTTTGAAACATCCAAGAGGAATCTAATGAAAATATTAGACAAATTATTATTCAAATAACAGTGGACTTGGTAAACCTCTCAGAAGATGAGATGGAAAGAAATATTGACTGTATGTACAGAATTAGTACTAATTATGCCAGCAAAAACAAAGTGGCAAGAGATGTAATAATTCAATGTGGGAGAAAAAGAATAAAGGATGATATTTTGAAGAATAATGCCTCAGACCCAATATACTACATATCTAAAAAGGTCACAGTCTTAAAAGAATTTCCATTGGCTACTCTGAATAAAAGAAGAAAGCATATGTTTTTAGTAGAAGAACTGAAGAAACAAATCAGATTCATCTGGGAAAGAACAGAAGGACTTCTGGCAGCATATAATGAAACCAAGTACTGGTTAACATCAGAGGACAAAGCTAAATAATATTATAAGTTGCAGAAACATAAATATCAGGAAAAGGGGGAAGAAAAGCAACTGAAGAAAGAACCAAAAGATGAACAAGGTACAAAGACCAGACCTTTAAAAAAGGACAGAGGAGTATGGAAATCCCCCAAAAATGGACATGATGAATCAGGACTCACAAGCAGAAGGAGGAGAAGGAGGAGGAGAAAGAGGAGGAGGAGAAGATGATGATGGTGGAAATTAGATACTACTCAAACAATGTTAATGGAATAAACTCCCCAAATAAATGAAAAAATCTTTAATCAAATTAAGAAAGGGAAAACAATATTGTGGCACTCCAGGAGATGCACATTGCACAAAAACATGTAGCCCATTTGGTACAAAAAATGTACCAAATGGGAAAAGAATTCTATGCAGCAGCCCACAAAAAAAGAGTGGCGTGGTTACATATATGAATTCAAAAATTCCAGCATAATTGGCATTTATAGATCAAGGAGGCAGAATGTTAGGAATAATTTTTACAGTAAACAACCAGAAAATTTTATTTTGTAACATCTGTTCTACAAATGGATCCAAAACTGAATTTGTGAAGAAATAAATGGAACAGATTTTAGCACAAGAATTTGATAATATGATCATGGTGGGACATTATAATGGAGTCATAAACCCCGAATTAGATAAAAGTAGACCTTCAAAGAAGATTGATAAAGACAAAGTGGGAAAACTTCCCCAACCATTTATGAACTTATTACTTGAATTGGATTTACAAGATGTCTGGAGAATAAAGTATCCAGAAGAAAGGGACTACACCTTTTAATCAATCGACATCAGATGTGGTGAAGAATTGACATACACAATAACAACAAAAATAAGAAAGATGAAAATTTATTTATTTATTTATTTATTTATTTACTTTGCTTATATACCGCTGTATCTCAAGCCCGAAGGCGACTCACAGCGGTTCACAAACAGTAAAAACAGTAGAAACAGCAGTGGTTCCATACAACATATAACAATTAACTTAACACATTATCCATAAATTACCAATAAGCAATTACAAAATCAAACAAGAGCAATCTCTGATCATGGTACTATTGAATTTTCAACAATTCAAAGTATTAGATTAATAAGATGGAGACTGAATGATAAGCTACTAAGAACTGAAGAAGATACAAAGAACAATAAAAAATCTTGAAAGATTTTTTTGAAATAATCATATTTCCAGAAACACACATTCAGATAGTTTGGTTTGCAAGTAAGGCAATAATGAGAGTACACCTAATTCAATATTATGTGTTAAGAAATAAAAGGAGAAATGAGAAGAAAAAGAGAATATTACAGGAAATATCAGAAGTAAATAGAACAAAATTTTTAAAAGAACCCAAAATGCCAAAAAGTAAACATGAGCTGGAAATATTAGAAAAACAAAGAAATTTCCTAGAAAGCTTTAAAAGAAACTAAAATTCACAAAGCACTTCCAAAATGCTAACGGACAAGAAAAATGGCTGGCAAATAAAATAAGAAAGAAGAGACAAATGCCACATCTAACTAAAATAATGCCTAAGGATGAAATATATTCGAAGGACCAAGATACACTAAACCAATTCAATGAATATTATAAGAAGCTATGCTTAAAAGATCCAATAAGGAAAGAAGATATAACACAATATCTAGGGGAAAAAACTTGATAAGATTATTGGAACAAAAAATATAATTATTAAATTATAAAATGCAAGAAATATAAAAGGCAGAATAATGGAGATTTACTATAAATCCTTAGAAGAAGAAATATTACAATTTTTACATAAAATAATGAATGATGCCCTAAACAATAAAAAATACTGGATACATGGAAAATGACTAATATTACAATGATTCACAAAGAAAATTTAGATCTAACAGATGTGAAAAATTGTAGACCAATTTATCTTCTGAATACTGATTAAAAGATTTTTACCTACGTATTGTACCTATGTACCTATGTATTGGCAGAAATACTAAAAATCTTTTTAAATGAAGGGATCAAAAGGACCATCATGAAACCTTCCTGACTGTGAGAGCCGTTCAGCAGTGGAACTCTCTGCCCCGGAGTGTGGTGGAGGCGCCTTCCTTGGAGGCTTTTAAACAGAGGCTGGATGGCCATCTGTCAGGGGTTCTTTGAATGCAATATTCTTGCTTCTTGGCAGGGGGTTGGACTGGATGGCCCATGAGGTCTCTTCCAACTCTTTTCTATGATTCTATGATTCTATGAGACATCTAAGAGAAAATTGTTGGATATTGAATACTTTAATAATTGAATACTATGAAGCAAACAATAAAAAAGAATTGGCATTGATCTTTATAGATGCTGAAAAAATATCTTCCGCTGTGTTTTTCAGTGCTTTTATGAGTGATGGTCATTCATTGGCCTGATAGGTGTATTTGTCCAAATTTGGTGTTCAGTGGTTTTTGAGTTATGTTAATCCCACAATGAACATTACACACACACACACATACACATATATAGAGAGAGATTTTTTGCCTAGACTCCATGTGTGTTAGATTCCCTTGTCTACTCTCAGCTCTCAATTTACCTATTTTTCCTTTTAAATTGATTGTATATAAGCAAACTAATATGAAACAGTTTTTTAAAAAAATGACTCCTAGTTACAAACAGGGCAGAGGCAACAGTAAGTGAGAGGAAATCTACCCCTAGGAAGGAAATTCATCCTCTGAAAGAGTTATCATGGGTAATAGTTGTCTCCACTGAAGCTTTATCACCACCCTTTGTTTCCACAAGACATATTTTTCAAAATCCGATTATCACGGGGACAGAAAGAAAGGTGAAATCTTCTAAACTATTGTTAGAGGAGCAAGGAAAAATATTTGTTCACCAGGAATGTTTAATTAACTGTACATTGCATATCTAAACCATCAGATGGAACATGAGTGAACCAGATAACATTAATATATTTTAAGACTAACTCCAGATGTTCATCCCCAATGTACCCTTTTTAAGGTGTTTAGGTTTGTCCATCCTTTCTTTATATATTATAAGATTCCCTTAAAGATTCTCTTAAACTCCTGTGGTTTTAATAATTGTTTCTGTGATTGAGGTTTTAATTGATTTGCTTTAATGGGTTCTTATTTGTATTCGTTGTTTGGCACTGACTAAATGCCTGTTGTGAAGCTGCCCTGAGTCCCCCTTCGGGGGTGAGAAGGATGAGGCACGAATACGCGAAATAAATAAATAAGTCAATAAATTAAAATTGCTAATTAATCGCTTTTAAGATTCTACTTTATTGACTTGAATAAACAATATTTTTTTTGTATTAATTTTCCCCAAGGTCTTCGATTGGTGAATGCAGCTCATAGATGTGAGGGCCGTGTAGAAATTAAATACAGCAATTCAGTCTGGGGGACAGTTTGTGATGATTCATGGGACTTAAATGATGCAAATGTTGTATGCAGACAACTTGGATGTGGATATGCTCTCAGTGCTCCAGTATCAGCATATTTTGGGAAAGGCTCTGGTCCCATCGTCCTGGATGAAGTTGGATGTTTTGGAAATGAAACTTATCTATGGGAATGCCCTAACAATGGCTGGGGAGTTCATAACTGTGGCCACAATGAAGATGCTGGTGTCATCTGTTCAGGTATTTCCTGATTTTGTTATATGTATCTTTTACATTATTTTATTTGCATATTGAAATATTTGATCACTTCACTCTTCACTCTTCCCTTTATTAAAACTCTTATACCAGCATTCAACCTATGAAGGTGCTGAAAATTTATCATCAGTTTACCCATCATCATCCTTAGGATCTTGGTGAAATTATGAAACCCTCACTTCAATTAGGCTCAGACATGGAAAGGAAGGGGTCAAAGAAAACATGTGTGGAGATCTTAATTAAAAAAAGAAAAGGCCTGCTCACTCAGATTTAGGGCAATGCAGGTCAAGGCCATCTTCATGCAGCCTTGCCCCATGTTAATTAAAATTGGGGAATAGTCCAAATTCTGGCACAACATTCAGACTATCCCCTGGCATTGGGCTCATCTGAACATTTAGGCTGATACTGTAATAGAACCATCTTCAACTTTTCTCACTGTCGTCCCATCTTTCTTGGGCTTGGATGAGCTGGGGACATAGGATGGCAGGTACCACCACGAACCATCCTCTATATTGTAGTGGTCCCATTGCCTGCAGTGACATTACCCAGGGTAAGATGACAATTGGGGAAGGAGAAGGAGAGAAGAGGGTGATTCCTTCCCACCCTCCTTCTTTGCCCCATTTCCACGGGAGAAGTTACAACCAATGGGTTGTACCTGTGTTTTGACTGGAGAGACCACCACAATGTGGAGGATGAGAGGGGACAGTAAGGTTGGCTGGGCAGAGGGGGTTCCCTCCCACCTATGCAGTGTCTTACTCCCCACCCATGAGAAACCACAACAATATGATGTAACAGAACATACCAACCATAATGGTGCAGCACAGATCTATCTTAAAGAAAACCCACCCCTGGTGGAGGTTAAGTTCTTTTGAAGTGCTCAGGGAAGAACTAATGGGTTTCCTTTCTCATTTTTCAGATGCACTTTCTACAACCAGAGGTAAGTTCCCATTTAATGAAATTGACACAGTTTATTCAGTCAACTATAGTGATAGTAATATTTTAGATTATGGGACCCAATTCCAAACAGGCCTTTTGCCATTTTCATCCCAAAAAACAATTCTTCTCTGTGACTATATGGCCTCATGACCTAAAACAAGCAGGATTTTCCTCTCTCCTTCAGTACTATAGTTCTGAATCCCCAGATAAGAGTTTCCCTCTGATATGAATTTGGAAATTGTAAATGATGATGTCTTTGAGAAACTTCCTAATACTGTCTCTCCCCTGAGACATCAGGAAGTGAGATGAAATCTTCCCCTTTTAAGGAAATTCACTCCTGAAATACCATTGGGCAAAGGTGTCTCCACTAAAGCTTTATCACTAATCCTTGTTTCCACAAGACATTTTTTTCAAAGTCCAATTATCACTGGGACAGAAAGCAAGGTGAAATTTTCTGAACAGAGACCAAAAAGAAAAAGAAACATAAGGGATATTAACCTTTCTCTGTGCTATCCAAAGGTTAAAAGATAGTAATTGCTTGGAGTTGCACTTAAAAATGTACTCATTCCAACATAGATACAAATTCCACTTAAGAACAAACCTACAGAATGTATCTTGTTCCTTAACCGGAGACTGCTTGTACTGCACCTGGAATGATGGGGAATCAAGAAGTATTTCCACCAATTCTATTCTGATAAAAAGACTAGAGCATTTATTGATAGGAAAATAATGCCAGGAGGGAAAGTGTGAACTTGCTTTTAGTCCCACTTTAAAATAGAAAAAAGAACTTTGGTATGATAGCATGCTATGTAGGTCTCATTTACTATGATCTTGTAAGACAAACTTAGAGTGCCCTCTTGTGATTACATAACCAGGAAAGTAAGAATATACAGGTTGAGCATACCCCTTAAACAGAACGCCTAGGAGCAGAAGTGTTTTGGATTTAGGATTTCTCAGATTTTTGGAATACCTTTACTTTTATATATACATTTGTAATGAGTTATCTTGGAGAAACAACCTAAATCTAAACATGATTTTCAATTATGTTGTATGTATACCATGAAGTTAATTTTGTACAATATTTTAAAATAATTTTGTGCATGAAACAAAGTGTGTATATCTTGAACCACCAAAAATTAATGGTGTTACTCTCTCAGTTTCCCCTGTGGATTATTTTGGATTTTGGAGGATATTTGGAATTACAGCTAGGGGATGCTCCACCTATCATTTTTCATTTCTAATTACAGCATCCTCCTTTTTGTCATTTTTTAAAAAATCTGAACATTATTTGACGTTTGGACACACTTATTTTACACATTTGAAATTGAATGTTTGGCAATCCAAAAGTTTGTTGTTGTTTTTTTAAAAAAAAAAAAACAACAGCAGATGACCACAGATAGAGAGCAATGCAAAGTCAAATCCTTTCACATCCCAAACCCAAAATTCTTATAAAGTTGGGAGATGATTTAGAAGTAGTGACTTTTTTTTTGCTGAGGTTTCAAATACTTTGCTTTTTTTATTCAGTGTAATTCCTATGGAACACAGTGAATAGGAATAAAAATAATGTGGAATAAACCTCTAACATGACAGTCCCATTATCACTGAAACTTCTGATAACCCTCTTAATACTGTTTTGGTGCAATAAGCATTTCTGAACAGCAGTGTACCATTATTTATATTTTTAAAATCAACTATTGTTAGAGGAGCAACTCTTGAAGAATGGGAAACCCAACCTTGCCACCAAAGTAGGAAAGAAACCAATAGCCAGACAACAGATTGAGAACAACAACCTCCATGAACCCTTTACATCTACTGAATTGGACATGGCTCTCAATAAATTTAAAAATGGCAAAGCAGCTGGCCTGGATGATCTACGGATGGAACAAATCAAGAACTTTGGTCCAAAAGCAAGGCGCTGGCTGCTGGAGCTGATGAACAACTGCACTGCATCCTGTCAGATCCCCAAAATCTGGAGGAAAGCAAGAGTCATAGCCATCTTGAAGCCAGGCAAAGACCGTAATGATCCAAAAAGCTATAGACCAATCTCCCTGTTATGCTATCTTTACAAAGTTCTGGAAAGACTTATTTTGTATAGAATTATGGAAAAAATAGACCCATGTCTGATTCCACAGCAAGCTGGCTTCAGGAAAAGCAAAAGCTGCACATCACAAGTGCTGAACCTGACTCAGCACATAGAAGATGGCTTTGAAAGGCAGCAGATCACAGGAGCTGTCTTCATAGACCTGTCAGCAGCTTATGATACTGTAAACCACCACCTCCTCCTGAGAAAAATGTATAATATCACAAAGGATTACCATCTCACTTGCCTCATAGGAAATCTGCTACAAAACAGGAGCTTTTTTGTTGAGTTCCAGGGCCAGAGAAGCAGATGGTGAAAACAGAAGAATGGCCTGCCTCAGGGGAGCGTGCTTGCTCCATCCATGTTCAACATTTACACAAATGACCAGCCACTGCCAGAAGGGACAGAGAGTTTCATCTATGCTGATGATCGTGCCATTACTGCTCAAGCAGGGAGCTTTGAGATGGTTGAACAGAAGCTCTCTGAAGCTCTAGGTGCTCTTACTGCCTATTACAGGGAAACCAGCTGATTCATAATCCATCTAAAACACAGACATGTGCTTTTCATCTTAAGAACAGACAAGCATCCCGAGCTCTGAGGATTACCTGGGAAGGAATCCCACTGGAACATTGCAGCACACCCAAATACCTGGGAGTTACCTTGGACTGTGCTCTGGCCTACAAGAAGCACTGCTTGATTATCAAGCAAAAAGTGGGTGCTAGAAATAATATCATATGAAAGCTGACATGCACAACCTGGGGATCACAACCAGATACAGTGAAGACATCTGCCCTTGATCTATGCTACTCTGCTGCTGAGTATGCATGCCCAGTGCGGAACACATCCCACCATGCTAAAACAGTGGATGTGGCTCTTAATGAGACATGCCACATTATTACGGGGTGTCTGCGCCCTACACCACTGGAGAAATTACAGTGCTTAGCTGGTATTGCACCACCTGACATCTGCCAGGAAATAGCAACCAATAGTGAAAGGACCAAGGCAGTGACATCTCCGGCCCATCCTCTGTTTGGGTATCATCCAGCATGCCAATGACTTAAATCAATAAATAGTTTTCTAAGATGTACAGAGACACTCGCTGGAACACCCCTGCAAGCGAGAGTCCAAAAGTGGCAAGCTTAAACCCAGAACCTCAATCAATGGCTGATACCAAATGAGCTACTCCCTCCTGGGCATACAGGAAATTGGGTGACTTGGAAGGCACTGAACAGACTGCGCTCTGGCACCACGAGATGCAGAGCCAACCTTAAGAAATTGGGCTACAAAGTGGAATCCACGACATGCGAGTGTGGAGAAGAGCAAACTACAGACCACCTGCTGCAATGCAACCTGAGCCCTGCTACATGCACAATGGAGGACCTTCTTGAGCCAACACCAGAAGCACTCCAAGTGGCCAGCTACTGGTCAAAGGACATTAATAGAATACCAAGTCTGCAAACTTTGTGTTTTGTTTGTTTGTTTGTCTGGTTTTTTTACTGCAATACAACTGTTTTGGTTCGCTCCTGACACGATAAATACATAAGAGGAGCAAGGAAAGATATTTGTTCATCAGTAATGTTTAATTAAATGTACATTGCATTTCTAAACCATCAGATGGAATATGAGAGAACCAGTTAACATTAATATATTTTAAGAGTAATTCCAGATGTTTATGCCCAATGTGCCCTAAGCATAATTTTTGAGGTGACAAGGTTTGTCCACCCTTTCTTTATATTATAAGATTTTCTGAAAGATTCTCTTAAAATGGGTAATTAATCACTTTTAAGATTCTACTTTATTGACTTGAATAAACAATATGTTTTTGGTATTGCTTTTCCCCAAGGTCTTCGATTGGTGAATGGAGCTCATAAATGTGAGGGCCGTGTAGAAATTAATTACAGCAATTCAGTCTGGGGGACAGTTTGTCATGATTCATGGGACTTAAATGATGCAGATGTTGTATGCAGGGAACTTGGATGTGGATATGCTGTTGGTGCTCCAAAGTCAGCATATTTTGGGCAAGGTTCCGGTCCCATCGTCTTGGATGATGTTGGATGTAATGGAAATGAAACTTACCTATGGGAATGCCCTAACAATGGCTGGGGAGTTCATAACTGTGGCCACTATGCAGATGCAGGAGTCATCTGTTCAGGTATTTCCTGATTTTGTCATATGTACCTTTTATACCTCTTTATTTTTATATTGAAATATTTGATCACTTTGATATGACAGCATGTACATTTAACATCTTCACTCTCCCCTTTTATTATAACTGTTATACCAACACTCAACCTATGAATGTGCCGAAAAATTATCTTCAATGGACCCAACATCATCCTTAAGATCTTGGTGACACTATGCAACCCTCACTTTAATTAGGCTCAGACATGGAAAGGAAAAGGACAAAGAAACATGTGTGAAGATCATAATTAAAAAATAAAAGGCGTGCCCACTCAAATTTTTATGACTGTGCCTCCCCATCATGAACATATTCAGTAATGATTTAGTTCCCAGTGACTGAGGGATCATGCAGGGAATGTGGTACCATTACAATTAGATAGATAGATGATAGATAGATAGATAGATAGATAGATAGATAGATAGATAGATAGATAATGATTATGTTACTGAGTGCAAAAAGAGCCAGAGTAATTGTCACCATGCTGAAAATGTATGAGGAGGGAACACTTCCCCATTGCCTTAGAAATGCTACACAATAATTCAGTTTTATTGTTTTCTGCAGTGCTTTCATTGCTACGGGACAGCTTAGTAAATTGGAAAAAGATAGAAACGGTGTGGACACTCAACAAATATTTTATAGACTAATTTGGCAATGAATGCTGGCTTTATAGACATTTCAAATCAAACCATAAAAGTACTCAGGGAAGTACCAATGGGTTTCTTTTTTTCATTTTTCAGATGCACTTCCTACAACCAGAGGTAAGTTCCCATTTAATGAATTTGACACAGTTTATTCAGTCAACTATAGTGACAGTAGTATTTTAGATTATGGGGCCCAATTCAGAACAGGCTTTCGATTTTCATCCCAAAGAAACAAATAATTCTTCTCTGTGACTTGCTATGATGCATGGCAGCATGACCTGAAAACGAGCAGGATTTCCCCCTCTCCTTCAGAACTATAGTTCTGAATCCCCTGATGAGAGTTTTCCTCTGATATGAACTTGGAAATTATAGGTGATGATATTGTGCTGTCACGCGCTGGGCCTGTGAAAAGGTCTGTAGACAGGACATGCTCTGTATGCCCAACGCGACGCCGGGGATGCCTCGAATTAGGAGCCCTATAGATTTCCCTAAACAAAGTCTTTAGAAACTTGGAAAGTTTAACAAAGTTCTTTATTAGTGCTTAGGTCTTCAATAAATCAAACAAATACTTCAAGGCTTTGAATCAACTGGTGGCTTTCTTAATCTTGTCCACAAGGGACAGGCAACTATCTTCATGAACTGTTTCTTCTCTATCAGGGAAATCCTTGACCTCTACCTGGGCAATCTGTCTTAGGCTCTGCTGGCGTGGGCCCCTACACCCGGTCCAAATTGCGTTATGTCCTTACCAAACAGAGTACTTTTGTAGATTTCCAAGAGGAAAGAAGGTCTTCAATTCCCAGAGAAGTCTGGCTGTAAAGCTGTGGGAATGGATTCCTCCAGCAAAAGCTACGCTTCTCTGTAGAGCTGTGGGACTGAATTCCCCCAGCAAAAGCTGTAAAAGATGAAGCTTTCTACAGGTGGAACTGACTCACGCCCTGTACGAAAGGCTTCTCTGTGAGAACTGAACTAGAGGTCCCCTTTTCCCCTCCTAAACCCAGAAAAAGGGGCGGAACTAAAGAACCTAATGATGATTGATGGGTCATTGGCCCTATAATTGCAAACCAAGGGAAGCCACCTTATTGCAAAATGCATGGAACTGGAATACATGCAAACACTCAAAGAAAGAAAAGAAGTTGGAGCTCCTGGTACAGCCGTACCAGAACGGCTGTACAATGGTTGCCTTTTGCATCATTGCGAGCAGAGCTTGGCAGCAGAAAGCAATGGTTTTTACAAAGTTCACTTCTGAAAGAGTTATCATGGGAAAAGGTGTCTCCACTGAAGCTTTATCACCAATCCTTGTTTCCTCAAGACATTTTTTCAATCAAGTTATCACATGGACAGAAAGCAAAATGAAATCTTCTGAACAGGGACCAAAAAGAAAAAGAAAAGGAAAAAAAGAAAAATGATAAGAAGTAAAACAAACACCACAGGGGTATTAACCCTTCCCTATGCTATCCAAAGGATAAAAAATAGTAATTGGCTGCAGTTGCACTGAAAAATGTACCTGTTCCAACATACATAAAAATTCCCCTTAAGAAGCCTACAGAAGGTATCTTGTTACTAACTTGGACTCTGCACCTGAAATGATGGGGAATCAAGAAGTATTTCCATCAATTCTATTCTCATAAAAAGACTGTAGCATTTATTAATAGGAAAATAATACCAGCAGGGAAGGTTTGAACTTGCTTTCCTTCCCACTTAAAAATAGAAAAGAGAACTTTGCTATGATAACATGCTGTGTAGGTCTCCTTTACTATGATCTTGTAAGACAAACTTGGAGTGCCCTCTTGTGACTGTAAAGCCAGAAAAGTAAGGTTGAGCATACCCCTTAACCAGAATGTTTGGGACCAGAAGTGTTTTGGATTTCGGGTTTCTCAGATTTTGGAATACCTTTATTTATATAAACATTCAGAATGAGCTACCCTGGAGAGGCAACCTAAATCGAAATATGAATTTTATATCTGTTATATGCATATCCTGAAGTTAATTTCATACAATATTTTAAAAGAATTTTGTGCATGAAACAAAGTTTGTATACCTTGAACCACCTGAAATAAAAAGTGTTACTCTCTGTCACCCTGTGGATAATTTTGGATTTTGGAGGGTTTTTAGAATTCCAGCTATGAGAAGCTCCATCTGTCATATTTGGTCTCTTAACTATTGTATCCTCTTTTCCTCATTTTTTTTAAAAATCTGAATATTATTAGATGTTTAGATACACTGATTTCACACAGTTGAAATGAAATGTTTGGTAATCCAAAGGTTTTTTAAAAAATAATTGATAACCATATACAGAGAGCAATGCAAAGTGAAATCCTTTTACATCCCAATCCCAAAATTCTCACAAAATTTGAAGATTGCATTTTGGAAGAGGATTTAGAAGTAGTGACTTTTTTTTTTACTGAGGTTACAGATCCTTTGCCTGTTTACTTCAGTGTAATCCCTATGGAACACGGTGAATAGGAGTAAATCTAATTTGGAATGAAGCTGTAACATGACAATCCCATCATAATTGAAACTTCTGATAACCCTTTTGATACTGTATTGGTGCAATAAGCATATTTTGACAGGATGTACCATTATTTATATCGTTAAGATCAATTACTGTTAGAGGTGCAAGGAAAGATATTGTTCATCAGTAATGTTTAATTAACTGTATATTGCATTTCTAAACAATCACATGGAACATGAGAACCAGATAACATTAATATATTTTAAGAGTAACTCCAGATGTTTATGCCCAATGTGCCCTAAGCATAATTTTTGAGGTGACAAGGTTTGTCCACCCTTTCTTTATATTATAAGATTTTCTGAAAGATTCTCTTAAAATGGGTAATTAATCACTTTTAAGATTCTACTTTATTGACTTGAATAAACAATATGTTTTTGGTATTGCTTTTCCCCAAGGTCTTCGATTGGTGAATGGAGCTCATAAATGTGAGGGCCGTGTAGAAATTAATTACAGCAATTCAGTCTGGGGGACAGTTTGTCATGATTCATGGGACTTAAATGATGCAGATGTTGTATGCAGGGAACTTGGATGTGGATATGCTGTTGGTGCTCCAAAGTCAGCATATTTTGGGCAAGGCTCTGGTGTCATTGTCCTGGATGACGTTATATGTAGTGGAAGTGAAACTTACCTATGGCAATGTCCTAACAATGGCTGGGGAGTTCATAACTGTGGTCACCATGAAGATGCTGGTGTCATCTGTTCAGGTATTTCCTGATTTTGTCATATGAATCTTTTTAAACTTCTTTATTTTCATACTGAAATATCTGATTACTTTGATATGGCAGGATACACATTTAACATCTCTTCACTCTCCCTTTTTATTAAAACTCTTATACCAGCACTCAACCTACGAATGTGCTGAAAATTTACCCAACATCGTCCTTAGGATCTTGGTGAAATTATGAAACCCTCCCTTTAATTAGGCTCACACATGGAAAATAAGTGGACAAAGAAAACCTGGGTGGAAATCATAAGTAAAAGAGAAAAGGCATGTCTACTCAGATTTCTATGATTGTAACCTCCCAATCATGAAAATATTCTGTAAAGATTTAGGTCCCAGTGACTTAGGAATCATGCAGGGAATGCATCACCATTACCATACACACACACACACACACACACACACATACACACACACACACTAATGAGAGCAAAAGAGCCAGAGTAATCATCATCATGCTGAAAATGTATGAGAAGGGAAAACTTTCCTATTGCCTTAGAAGTGTATTCAATTATTTCGTTTTATTGTTTTCTGCAGTGCTTCCATTGCTACGGGACAGTTTAGTAAAGTTGGAAAAAAGATGGGTTTCTCCAATCAGTTTTTTTAATTTATTGTGTCATCAGCAACCAGACATTTGTATTACATTTTTAACAAAAACAAACAAACAGACAAAACACAGAATTTGCAAGCTTGGTAGTTGATTAAATGTCATTTGACCAGTATCTGGCCACTTGGAGTGCCTCTGGTGTTGCCGCAAGGAGGTCCTCCATTGTGCATGTAGCAGGGCTCAGGTTGCATTGCAGCAGGTGGTCTGTAGCAGGTGGTCTGATCTCCAATCAGTGCCCATTGGCAACAAGGACTTTTTGCATACAATGGACAACAATTTCCATCTTTTTCCTAAAATGTACACTAAAAAAAGACTAACCTTATAAAAATCTCAAGAAAAAGTCCCTTCCTATTCAACTCAGCAAAACTTCCACAGACATGACCATCCAAACATGGCTATGGTCACATCTACACTGACCACTTAGGTCAGATAGCCCCCAGATCCGCTCTGTCGCATCCAAAAGCCACACAGAGCTGATTAAGGGCAACACAGGGCAAGGCCACCTTCATGCAGCCTTGCTCCATGTTAAAGCTGGGGGATAGTCCTAATTCTGGCACAACATTCAGACTATCCCCTGACATTGGACTCATCTGAACATTTGGGCTGATATTGCAATAGAACCATCTGCAACTTCCATCCCATCTTTCTTGGGGTTGGGTGACTTAGGGACATGGGATGGCAGTTAACATCTTCACCCATCCTCTATGTTGTGGTTGTCCCACTTTCTGCAGTGACATCTCCAAGGGCAATATGGCAATTGGGGAAGGGAAGAGGAGAGAAGGGGGTGATTCCTCTTCTCCACATTCCTTCTCCAAATCTTCTTTGCCTCATTTCCATAAGAGATGTTACAACTGTGTACCCGTGTTGTGACTGGAGACCACCACAAGGTGGAGGAAGGGACAGTAAGGTTGGTTGGGCATAGGGGACTCACTCCCATCTCTCCAGTTTCTAACTCTCCACCTATGAAAAAACCATAACAGTATGTTGTTCCAGAGCATACCAGCTATAATGGTTCAGCACAGATGGGATATCAATCTTAAAGACAATCTATCCCCGCTGGAGGTGAAGTTCTTTCTTAGTGTCTATGAAATTAGTGTTTCTTTGATGTAAAAAACCTTGGGGTTATAATGACTGACCGGAAGGACCCATATTGTTCCTGTGGGTCGCCATCACAAGAAGGGCAAGAAATGGTAAGGAAGTGGTCATCCCATGGTGCTGAAGCAGATTCGGCGCCACTGGGCAGCCAGAACTCACTCCCATCTCTACAACATCTGGGGAAGAGGGGGCAGATATAAACCATCCATGGACAATGCAGTATTTGTTACGACTTCTGGGATAGGAGGTCAGTGTAGATCTGCCCTTTGTATTAAAAATGAAAAATAGAAGGATTATATATCTAAATAAAATACAGATGTGCACTTTTTTTTACAGTTGTGTGACCTTAATACACTTAGTAACAAGTATGCAGTTTATACCAACATAGAAACTGTGTGGACACTCAACAGATATTTTATAGAATAATTTGGCAGTGAATACTGGCCTTATAGACATTTCATATCAAACTATCAAAGTATTCAGGAAAGTACAAATGGGTTTCTTTTTTTCATTTTTCAGATGCACTTCCTATAACCAGAGGTAAGATTCCATTTAATGAAATTGACAGTTTATTTAGTCAACTATAATGACAATGCGTGCCATCACAGACAATGATATTTTAGATTATGGGGCCCAATTCAGAACAGGCTTTCAGCCATTTTCATTCCAAAGAACCAAATAATTCTTCTCTGTGACTTGCTATGATACATGGCAGCATGACCTAAAACAAGCAGGATTTTCCTCTCTCCTTCAGTACTATAGTTCTGAATCCCCAGATAAGAGTTTCCCTCTGATATGAATTTGGAAATTGTAAATGATGATGTCTTTGAGAAACTTCCTAATACTGTCTCTCCCCTGAGACATCAGGAAGTGAGATGAAATCTTCCCCTTTTAAGGAAATTCACTCCTGAAAGAGTTATCAAAGGGGAAACATGTCTCCACTGAAGCTTTATCACCAATTCTTTTTTCCACAAGATATTTCTTTCAAAGTCCAATTATCACAGGGACAGAAAGCAAGATTAAATATTCTGAACAGGGGCAAAAACAAAACAAAACAAAACAAAACAAGCATCATAGGGTTATTGACCCTTTGCTATGCTATCCAAAGGTAATAAAATAATAATTGGCTGTAGTTGCACTTTAAAATGTACCTGTTCCAACTTACATATAAATTCAACCTACAGAACCTGTCTTGTTCATAACCTGGAGACTGCTTATATCTCACCTGGAATGATGAAGAATCAAGAAGTATTTTCATCAAATCTATTCTCATAAAAAGGCTGTAGCATTTATTAATAGGAAAATAATACCAGCAGGGAAGGTTTGAACTTGCTTTCCTTCCCACTTAAAAATAGAAAAGAGAACTTTGCTATGATAACATGCTGTGTAGGTCTCCTTTACTATGATCTTGTAAGACAAACTTGGAGTGTCCCCTTGTGATTGCAAAGCCAGGAAAGTAAGGTTGAGCCTATTCCTTAACCAGAATGCTTGGGACCAGAAGAGTTTTGGATTTCGGGTTTCTCAGATTTTGGAATACCTTTATTTATATATATATTCATAATGAGCTATCCTGGAGAAATGACCTAAGTTTAAACATAAATTTCAATTATGTTGTATGCATACCCTGAAGTTCATTTCATACAATATTTTTAAATACCTTTGCACATGAAACAAAATTTGTATACCTTGAACCACCAGAAATAATTGTACACTACTGTCCAGATATGCTTATTGCACCAATACAGTATTAAAAGGGTTATCAGAAGTTTCAATGATGACAGGACTGTCACATTACAGTATTTGCATTGCTCTCTATCTATAGTCATCTGTTGTTTTAAAAATCTTTTGGTTTACCAAACATTCCATTTCAAAAGTTTGGAATCAGTTTGTCTAAACGTCTAATAATGTCCGTTTTTTAAAAAAATGAGGAAAAGAGGATGCAATATTTAGAAACCAAAAATGACAGGTGGAGCATCCCTTAGCTAGAATTCCAAAAATCCTCCAAAATAAAAAATAATCCACAGTGGTGACTGAGAGAGTAACATCTTTTATTTATACTGTTAAGCTCAACTATTGTTTGAGGAGCAAGGAAAGGTATTTGTTCATCAGTAATGTTTAATTAACTGTAGACTGCATTTCAAAATTTAATATATTAATATATTAATTTTTTTTAAGAGTAACTCCAGATGTTCATGCCCAATGTATCCTAAGCATCCCTTAAAGATTCTTTTAAAATTGGTAATTAAACACTTTTAAGATTCTACTTTATTGACTTGAATAAACAATATGTTCTTGGTATTGCTTTTCCTCAAGGTCTTCGATTGGTGAATGGAGCTCATGGATGTGAGGGCCGTGTAGAAATTAACTATAACAATTCAGTCTGGGGGACAGTTTGTGATGATTCATGGGACTTAAATGATGCAAATGTTGTATGCAGACAACTTGGATGTGGATATGCTGTCAGAGCTCCAGGGTCAGCATATTTTGGGGAAGGCTCTGGTCTCATCGTTTTGGATGACGTTAGATGTGGTGGAAGTGAAACTTACCTATGGCAATGTCCTAACAATGGCTGGGGAGTTCATAACTGTCGCCACAATGAAGATGCAGGTGTCATGTGTTCAGGTATTTCATAATTTTGTCATATGTACCTTTTATACCTCTTTATTTTTATATTGAAATATTTGATCACTTTGATATGACAGCATGTACATTTAACATCTTCACTCTCCCCTTTTATTATAACTGTTATACCAACACTCAACCTATGAATGTGCCGAAAAATTATCTTCAATGGACCCAACATCATCCTTAAGATCTTGGTGACACTATGCAACCCTCACTTTAATTAGGCTCAGACATGGAAAGAAAACGGGAAAAGAAAATATGGGTGGAGATCATAATTAAAAAAAAGATATGGCTTACCCACTCAGATTTCTATGATTGTGCCTCCCCATCATGAAAATATTCAGTAAATGTTTAGGTCCCAGTGGCTGAGGGATCATGCAGGGAATGTGATACCATCACAATATAATATAGATATAGATTATCTGATCATGCTAATGAGGGCAAAAAGAACCAGAGTAATCATCACCATGCTGAAATTGTATGAGGAGGGAATACTTCCCTGTTGCCTGAAAAGTGCTATTCAATAATTCGGTTTTATTGCTTTCTGCAGTGCTTTCATTGCTACAGGACAGCTTAGGACTCACTCCCAACTCTAAAGCAGTTGGAAAGGAGGGAGTAGATATAAACCATCGAAGGACAATACAGTACTTGTTACCTGTGAGATAAGAGGTTAACGTTGATCTGCCCTTTGTCTTAAAAACGAAAAATAGAAGGCTTATCTTTCTAAGAAAAATATAGACTTGTACTTTTCTCTTTACAGTTGTGTGACCTTCATATACTTAGTCACAAGTGCACTGTTTATCCCAAAATAGAAACTGTGTGGACTTATGATTTCCACCCAGATATTTTATAGCATAATTTGGCAGAGAATGTTGGACATATAGACATTTCAAATCAAGCCATTAAAATGTTCAGGGAAATACTAATGGGTTTCTTTCTTTATTTTTCAAGTTCCCATTTAAAGAAATTAACACAGTCAGCTATAGTGACAGTAATATTTTGGATTATGGTGCCCAATTTAGAACAGGCTTTTGGCCATTTTCATCTCAAAGAAACAAATTATTCTTCATTGTGATACATGGCAGCATGACCTAAAAACAAGCAGGATTTTCTTCTCTATTTCAGAGCGATTGTTCTGAATCCCCAGATGACAGCTTTCCTCTGATATTAACTGGGAAATTGTAGGTGATGACATGTTTAGGAAATTTCCTATTACTGCCTCATTCCTTCTTTTTAACATATGGGGTATTATATACATACATATACACATACATGTAAACATATATCTGTCTGAAATAAACATATTTTAACATATATTTTGTGTTGCATTTGCAGAGTCTTCTCGTCCAACACCTACAGGTAACTGTGACATGTTCGTAATAGATAAGAAGTAGGGGTTTTCCTTGTGATTTAATATAAAAGCTTTAGTGAATATTTTAGTGTTAATCTAAATTATTTTAATTGTAAAATAGATATATAAATAGTAGGGCTGGGCGGTTTCGTTCGTTAATTTCGTAATTCGTTATTAATTCGTTATTTTTTATAACGAAGCGATATTGAACCATTCAGGAGCAACTAAAAAACGAAACGAATTTTTCCAATTCGTTTCGTAATTGTTTCGTAATTGTTTCGTTATTATTTCGTTATTATTTCCGTATGTCTGGTGCAAGTTTTATAGTCGTTGTTTGTTTTATCAGTGATAAAAAAATAAATTATCACACCAAGAGTCAACAACAGAGGGAGAGGGAAGCTTCAGAAGTTCCCCCTGTCCCATTTGGAGGGTTTTTTAGCGTATTGCGCAATCGCGTCCGCCATTAACGAATCGATTCGTTATTGTTTCGAAATTGTTCCGAAATTTCGTAAATATCGAACTTTTTTAAAGAAAAATTTCAGAATTCTTTTAAATAACAAAATGCAAAAAACCCCTAAAAACGAATCGAATTTAGAAACAATTTTTTCCGTGGTTGCCCAGCCCTAATAAATAGCATAAAAGCAATGTTTTCAGTTCTATAAAATTCATTTTGGATTGTATGGCAGGTGCAAAATGGCATCTGGTGATGGCATACCTATTGTGAGATGAACTTGGAAATTGTAGGTAATGATATCTTTGGGAAACTTCCTACTAGCGTCTCAACAGGAAGTGAAAGGAAATCTACCCCTAGGAAGGAAATTCATTCCTGAAAAAGTTATCATGAGGCAAAGGTGCCTCCACTGAAGCTTTATCATCAATCCTTGTTTCCACAATACATTTTTTCAAAAGCCAATTATCACAAGGACAGAAAGCAATGTGAAATCTGAACAGGGACAAAAAAAGGGGGAAAAAACCAGACAGTGATGATATCTACTACTTTCTACTTTCTACTACTGCTCTTGCCTTCTTTTAAAGATATGGGGCATTATATATGCACATACATGTAAACATATATCTATCTGAAATAAATATATTTTAACATATATTTTGTGTTGTTTTTGCAGAGCCTGCTCGTCCAACACCTACAGGTAACTGGAACATGCTTTTAATAAATATGAAGTAGGGGTGTTCCTTGTGATTTAATATAAAAGCTTTAGTTAATTTTTATTGTTAGTCTAAATGATTTAAATTCTAAAATAAATATATAAATAACACAAAAACAGAGCTTTCAGTATATTAGAACTCACTTCTGATTGTATAGCAGGTGTAAAATGGCCTCTGGTGATGGCAACTTAATTGTGGCATACTCTCTCTCCAGGAAGTTTTACTATGACATTGTAGTTATGCCAGGGGAACAGTGCATGCATCAGACTGAGTAGATGTGCCTGGGTTTGCTCCCTAACTGGAAAAGAAAATAAAGTTTTAAAAAGCCCAGTAAGTTTGTAAATCTCCCTCAACCTAAATCCAAGTGAGTTCCATGCTGGTGGAGGGAGAGCAATGGGGAATAAAATTGAATAGAATAACAAAAGAACTTTGATGGCCAAAAGCAAGGAGGAGCTGAGGAAAGAAGGTGAAAGAAGAAAGTGCAAAAGCTGGTTTGCAGCTAAACATAAAAAAAACCCCAAGATTATGGCAACAAGAATGATTGATAAGTAGAAAATAGAGGGAGAAAACATGGAGGCAATGACAGACCTTGTATTTCTAGGTGCAAAGATTACTGCAGACGCAGACTGCAGCCAGGAAATCAGAAGACACTGGGAGGAGATCAATGACTGATCTCGATAAAATACTGAAGGGTAGAGACATCACATTGACAACGAAGATCTGCATAGTAAAAGCAATGGTATTCCCCGTAGTCACCTATGGATGTGAGAGCTGGTCCAGAGGGAAGGTTGAGCGAAGGAAGATAGATGCTTTTGAATTGTGGTGTTGGAGGAAAGTTGTGAGGGTGCCTTGGACCGCGAGAAGATCCAACCAGTCCATACTTCAAAAAATAAAGCCTGACTGCTCATTGGAGGGAAAGATAGTAGAGGCCAAGATGAAGTACTTTGGCCATATCATGAGAAGACAGGAAAGCTTAGAGAAGACAATTATGCTGGGGAAAATGGAAGGAAAAAGGAAGAGGGGCCGACCAAGGGCAAGATGGATGGATGGCATCCTTGAAGTGACTGACTTGACCTTGAAGGAGCTGGAGGTGGTGACAGCTGACAGGGAGCTCTGGCGTGGGCTGGTTTATGAGGTCATGAAGAGTCGGAAGCGTCTGAATGAATGAACAACAAGAACAACAACAAAAACATTGGAAGAACTAAAGATAAGCACAGAAGGATAAGGAAAGGGAACGATGAAATAAAGGAGCAAGTTAAAGTGATTAATACCCAGCTGGGAGTAATTGAGTCAAAAGTGGAAGAGTATGAAGGAAGATTTAAGGAGGAAGCACAGGAAAACAGAAAACAAAAGGAGATGATTAATTTAAAACAACAAATGGAGGAGGCAAATCAAAAACTCTCAGACAAAATTGCTGACCTCGGAGACCATTCATGAAGGGGAAATATACGCCTGAGGACAGGAGGGGACGACTTACACATTAAAGAAGGTTTACAAAATAATATTGTTAGATGGCTACAGACATGCACTCCAGTTTCATTGGAAGAGATAGAAAGAGTGCATTGGGTTTACAGAGGCATCGTTCTGGATGACGAAGGGAAGGGAATTGGGGACAAGAATTAAAAGAGAAAAGAGTTTTAAGAAATCTCAAGGAAATGAACCTGGAAGAAATAAAAAGCATGGAAAAACAGTTGAGTGAATTGAAAAAACAGAAGGTGAGCAAGGAAACAAGAAGAATGGAAATGAAATTCAGCACAGATGAAATTTAGAACAGAAATGAGCAGCCTAAAAACATGGAACTTTGTTAAATGGGGTCAAGAATGGGGTCAGGAGAACTGGAGAAGGGCAATGCAGCCACCAGGGGGAGTCTGGGAATGAAAGAGAATAGATGTGGTAGAGCTCTTTCAGGTCTCCTCTTTGTATATCTTGTGTGTTGTGTGGCAGGAACTTTGCAACGAAATGCAAAGATATAGAATGGGGGGGGGGTACCTGGCTCGAGAGCAGTACGTGTGTGAAAAAGATCTTGGAGTCCTCGTGGACAACAAGTTAAACATGAGTCAACAATGTGATATGGCGACAAAAAAAAGCCAATGGGATTTTGACCTGCATTAATAGGAGCATAGTGTCTAGGTCCAGGGAAGTAATGCTACCCCTCTATTCTGCTCTGGTTAGACCACACCTGGAATATTGTGTCCAATTCTGGGCACCACAATTCAAGAGAGATATTGACAAGCTGGAATGTGTCCAGAGGAGGGCGACTAAAATGATCAAGGGTCTGGAGAACAAGCCCTATGATGAGCGGCTTAAGGAGCTGGGCATGTTTAGCCTGAAGAAGAGAAGGCTGAGAGGAGATATGATAGCCATGTATAAATATGTGAGAGGAAGCCACAGGGAGGAGGGAGCAAGCTTGTTTTCTGCTTCCTTGGAGACTAGGACGCGGAACAATGGCTTCAAACTACAAGAGAGATTCCATTTGAACATGAGGAAGAACTTCCTGACTGTGAGAGCCGTTCAGCAGTGGAACTCTCTGCCCCGGAGTGTGGTGGAGGCTCCTTAAACAGGGGCTGGATCTGTCAGGGGTGATTTGAATGCAATATTCCTGCTTCTTGGCAGGGGGTTGGACTGGATGGCCCATGAGGTCTCTTCCAACTCTTTGATTCTATGATTCTATGAGTGCTTTCCTTCTGTTGAGCTTTCTTTTCCAGCTTTCTAAAAATGCTGTAGAAGTTTAGCACAGCTGGTAAATCACCAGCAACTATAAGATCTATCAACCGAAAGGTTGCAAGTTCGAAGCCCCGGGTTGGCATGAGCGGCCAACCGTCAGCCCTGCTCACTGTTTACCTAAGTAGTTTGTAAACAGCTTTAGCTGTAAGGTATGGTGGGTCCAATCTATATCGCCATCCCACACTTACTTGGAAGTAAAAAAGCAAATGAGTTTCAACTTTACACTGTGTCCTACATCTAATTGTTAGTTCTAAGACCCATTGAAACAGTATATTAACTTAATAAATACCTTTGATTCAGTGGGTATACTCCCACTAAAACCAACAACTGGATTCATGTTGAAGTATTCAGCATTCATTGTTTATCCCTCTGGCCAGCATACAGTGGCCATATTTCACAACCATAAATGTTGTCCCCCGATGCTCGAATATTATTCCAGTTAAAGTTGTGTGAGGAAAGATCAGTTTCTTCATAATGCTAGTTGTGCCTTTGCTATGTTAGGCTTCAGTTGCCATAATTGGATTTCCAGCTGAATAGTTTGTATTGGTCTTTTAAATATTGTTGATCTGCTTTTTCCTGTTCTTTTAAATTTGTATGAACTCTAAGTTCAACTTTTAAAAAAATAGAGGGACCATATTTTCACAAATAATATTGAACATGTATGATATGAATTTCAAACTGAATGTAATTCTAGATTATGTTTTTCCATTTAGCTGCAATTTTCTTTTGTATCATTCCATCAGTGCTTTCCTTCTTTACATATTCAACCTATATTACTGGCCAGGAGCATCTGTGTGTATGTGTATGAGATTTTGAATTGACATAATATCGAGGAAGGATAATATTTCATCCTAATTCCATTCTCCCTAATTTGTCTGAGGAAAGTGCACTCAAATTATAACCACCAGTTTACATAATTTATTACAACATAGTTCAGTGATATGGGTGCCATTTATTGGCCTCATCTATGAGGGGCCATGGTGGCACAGTGGATAAAACCGCTGAGCTGCAAAACTTGCTGATTGGAAGGTTGGCAGTTTGAATCCATGGACAAGGTGAGCTCCCGTTGTTAGTTCTAGCTTCTGCCAACCTAGCAGTTCAAAAACATGCAAATGTGAGTAGATCAATAGGTACTGCTTCTGCTGGAAGGTAACAGCACTCTTTGCAGTCTTGCTAGCCACATGACCTAGGAGGTGTCTATGGGCAACACCAGCTCTTTGGCTTAGAAATGGAGATGAGTACCACCCCCCCCCCCCAGAGTTGGAAACAACTAGACTTAATATCAAGGGGAAACTTTTACTTTTACCTTACACAGCCATATGATGTAGTTTCAGAGTGCAGTTTATCTGCATTGAAATGCATTATATGGCAATGTAGTCTTATATAATCCACTTTAATGCAGCTAAACTGCACTCTGAAACTACATAGTATGGCAGTGTAAATGGAGACATTGTTTGTTGTTATTATTTGAGTTCTGCAGCTCAAGTAATTAAAAAAGCCATTTACAGATGGGTTTACTGAAGGTATATTAATGATCTCTCTTCATAAATCTGCCAGTTTAAATACCATTGTGTCTTTCTTTATCTTTTACTTTACAGTAGATTACTTTTGTGGTGGTGAACTTCCGATTCCATCAGGGTCATTCAGTTCTCCCTTCTATCCTGGAAATTATCCAAACAACTTAAATTGTACATGGACAATTAGAACTTGGAACAATTACCGCATCAACCTCACATTTTCAAGCATGCAGTAAGTAGAAGAAGTTATTCGGAAGCAAACAATCATTTAAAATGTCAGCTCTTTTAAAGAAAAAAGTGAAAACATGGTGTCTTTCATACGTATTAAACGATGCACGAAAAGCCCCTCCATTCAACAAAATGTGTTTCACATTTTAGACACACAAAAGGAGCTAATAATCTTAGTGAATATATTGCTATCAACTCTAGTTGTTCTATTTCCCATTATAGAGTCATTTAATGTCTAACTAGAGGGACAGGGCAATTGGCAGGAAGCATTTTTCTTTTTTTACTTGCCTTTCCATCCTAAACACCTATTTTCACCACTTTGAAGATAGGTGTTTAGGATGGAAAGACAAATTCAGAATGCTCTTTCATTGTAGGTGAACTATAAATCCCAGCAACTACAACTCCCAAATGTCAAGGTCTATTTTCCCCAAACTCTACCAGTGTTCATATTTGAGCATATTGCATATTCATTGTTAGAGTCCACAGTGCTCTCTGGATATAGGTGAACTACAACTCCAAAACTCAAGGTCAATGTCCACCAAACCTTTCCAGTATTTTCTGTTGGTCGTGGGAGTTTTGTGTGCCACGTTTGGTTCAATTCCATCGCTGGTGGAGTTCAGAATCTTTGTTTGTAGGTTAACTGTCAATCCCAGCAACTACAATTGACAAAATCAACCCCCTCCAATCCCACCAGTATTCAAATGTGGTTGTGTTGGGTATTTGTGCCAAATTTGGCCCAGTGAATGAAAATACATCCTGCATGTCAGATATTTACATTACGATTCGTAACAGTGGCAAAAATACAGTTATGAAGTAGCAACAAAAATAATTTTATGGTTTGGGGTCAGAACAACATGAGGAACTGTATTAAGGGGTCCCGGCATTAGGAAGGTTGAGAAACACTGTTTTACTTGCTGTTTACATCCTAAACAGCTAGCTTCACTGCTTTGAGGTGACTCATAAAATAGCTGATCCAGCTGTTTTATGGGTGCATCTGGGTTTGTCTTTTTGCCCTACAGACCTGAAGCAAGACAGTCTCAGTTCCAGCTGCTAGAGATTCTTGCCTACATAGCGATCACATATGGCATTATCCCCACCCCCCAGTACCTTGAAGGCAATGTCTATGTCTATGCAGCTTCCACAGATGGTTCAGGATGATGGCATTCTGTATTTGTGATGACAAATTTGTGAGAACTTTGCTCCCCAAATCTCTTCCCACTCCGTTTGGGCTTAGTGTTTCTGCATGAAGAAATGTTGACATCAAACAGCCATTTTAATATTTTAATTTTTAAAATCATGGCTTTTAATTATGATTCTTGTTAATATTAAAGCTATTAAAGTTGAATATCTTCTTTAAAAATTCCTGTGTTAATTATTTCATTTTGAAGTTTAATATGTTTTGATTTCTTGTCACTTCTGTTTTCTTTCTGTGTTCTTTTCGAGGCACAATGCCAACATTGCAATGGGCAGGGAAGAGGTGTAGCCAGGCATGTAGCCGGGGGGGGGGGGGGGGGGGGCTTCAGCCCCTCCACCCCCCCCCCCCGAAAAGGCCTTACTGGTACATTATTTAAACTGTTATGTTTATTCATATCATGATCTGATCACCATGCTCAATATATCCCATATGCATGGGGGTATTGGGGTAATGATACAAAAGGTTTGCTAGGGTAGACCCTCCCCCACCCAGAATCAGCCCCCCCTGAATCAAAATCAGCCCCCCCCCCCCCGAATCAAAATCCTGGCTACGGGCCTGGGTGTAGCAGTGATTTTGCATTCTCCTTCCAACATAATTTGGCCTTGTAAAACTTTCCTTTCATTGACATTCATTGGAAAGAAAATAGCTATGCTGACTCCAAGGCTAGGATACTAATTGGGGTTTCCATATTGAAAAGGGCTTTGAAAGCTTCAGATCAGAGGTCTTCTGTGAATGCCCCCATTTTCCATCTATGGATTCTTGAACAGGAGAAGAACTTTCTATAGTGTCTTTCTTCTTTTTCCAAAAAGAGAGATACTTGTGTCATTCAGCCACACCTCCACAAAAGAACTGCTCTCTCATTTCGCAGATATGTACGGTGTATTCAAATTATCATAGAATCATAGAATCATAGAATCAAAGAATTGCAAGAGACCTCATGGGCCATCCAGTCCAACCCCCTGCCAAGAAGCAGGAATATTGCATTCAAATCACCCCTGACAAATGGCCATCCAGCCTCTGCTTAAAAGCTTCCAAAGAAGGAGCCTCCACCACACTCCGAGGCAGAGAGTTCCACTGCTGAACGGCTCTCACAGTCAGGAAGTTCTTCCTAATGTTCAGATGGAATCTCCTCTCTTGTAGTTTGAAGCCATTGTTCCGTGTCCTAGTCTCCAAGGAAGCAGAAAACAAGCTTGCTCCCTCCTCCCTGTGGCCTCCTCTCACATATTTATACATGGCTATCATATCTCCTCTCAGCCTTCTATGTTCTGATGAGCAGAATATGTGCCATAATTAGTCAACTGAGGCGTGTGCTGAGATTTGTGCTCAGAAAGATATTGTATTTCCCTCCTGCAGAACTGAATGTGGACCTGATAATGTGGACATCTTTGATGGCGATCTCGACTCACAACTTTTTGGGCGCTTTTGTTCTGGTTCTTTCCTATCATTTATTTCAACATCAAATGTTCTTACAGTGCGGTTTCGTACTGATTTCTCAATAACGTACAGAGGTTTTGATGCCTTCTACTTCTCATTTGGTGAGTATATTTGGGATGTTGGCCTGCATAAATAGAAGTTTAGTGTCTAGATCCAGGGAAGTTGTGTACAAGTTAAGGACAAGTTTGGAGGCAAAAAATATGGCATTTGATATGATCTATGGGTGTTGAAGGTCATTCCATAGAGAGAAGAAAGCACTAACCCCACCTCAGGGGGCCACCCTTGGCCGCCACTCCGTTTCCCCACCCAGACATTCAAAAACAACACAAGTGGCGTAATAGCAGTGATATTAAAAGGTGTTGATGCTTCTTTTAGGGTCTCCCAGGACAAGCCAATCTCTTGTCTTTTGCCACTCTACCCAGAGAAGGGGATAGTTCCTCTTTTTTGCACATTAGCTCAATACCATCTGATGATTTTGTTTGTTTGTTTCTTGTTTTTGTTTTTTTGTCATGTCAGAAGCGACTTGAGAAACTGCAAGTCGCTTCTGGTATTGATTGAAACATTTGAAAAATGAGGTTGAGTTTACCAATCCTATATCCATGTGGGAAAAGTTAAATATAGTTAAAATAAACTATGGTGTTTATTGGAAGGATACATAAGCACATTTACACTGAAGGATAGAATAATTATTTAATCAGAACTGGACATTCTCTATCTTAAATTACAGGGTTTTTTTTGTAAATATTCAAAAACATTTAACCTACTGATGTTTCAATTAATGTAAATTTATTGGTATCTATTTTTATTTTGAAATTTACCAGTAGCTGCTGCATTTCCCACCCTCGGCTTATACTCGAGTGAATATGTTTTCCCGGGTTTTTGTGGTAAAATTAGGTGCTTCGACTTATATTCATGTCAGCTTATACTCAAGTATTTACAGCACTCCCTCAGCTCTGCCAGTTTACTTTGTGTCTGTTTTATCTATAAGGAAAGGGTCGTATTTTGCAAATGCACATAAGTTGCCAGTGGAGAGAGGGATTAATACCTTCTCTGCCTCTTCTGCAGGCATGCTGCTTTTGTAGTTCAATATATAATATCCAGTTTTCTTCCTTTAAGAAGAGTCGTTTTCAGGAACAACAAGTAGGAATATCTGTATGTGTATGTGCTATGTATATAAGCAGGGTTTTCCTCTCTCTTTCAGAACTATAGTTCTGAATCCCCAGATGACAGCTTCTCTCTGATATGAACTGGGAAATTGTAGGTGATGACATGTTTAGGAAATTTCCTACTGCTAGCTCTTTCCTTCTTTTTAACATATGGGGCATTATATACACATATGCACATACATTTAAACATATATCTGTTTGAAATAAATGTATTTTAACATATATTTTATGTTGCATTTGCAGAACCTTCTCGTCCAACACCTCCAGGTAACTGGGAATATCTGCATGTGTTTGTGCTATGTATATATGTAAATACTACTCTTTTGCTCTCTCTGTGAGTGTGTCTGTCAATGTTTGTTTATGTCCATAATGTCTGTGGGTTTTGCTACAAGACTGAAAGGTAGAACTCCTCGATTCACTGACAGTGTGTATATATTATATGACATCTAACAGTCCTTTTTGCCTTAACTGATGTTTACCATTCATTTCATACTGTTCTAGCTAAAGCATTAAAACATTTGAAAGAGTACTAAAGGGTATCTTTTCTTTTTCAGGCAAACCCGATACAATAGCAGGTAATAAGTAGTTTCACAAATGTTTTTTTATGTTAATTAATTAATTAAATAAATAAATAAACCATAAGGCCTTTAAAAGTACTGTGACCATAAAAATACTTCAGCTTCGTTAGGCATTAGGTCAGTATGCAGCTGAATAACTGAATTAGATAAATAATTAGTCAGGACTCTATTAGTATGTTACACAAGAGTTATGTAAACTTCCAGAAGTAGTTGTATGTTTTCATTCAGTATGGAATCTCTGTATTCAGGTTTTATTTTATGAACTAGCAATAGTTGTTGTTTACATTCTTTTGTATTAATGTTACTACAAGCTTGTGAATAAAGAGCATATTTCTGGTATTTTTTCAAGGTCTCCGATTGGTGAATGGAAATCATAGCTGTGAAGGGCGTGTTGAAGTTCATAACTCCAATTCTACATGGGGAACAGTCTGTGATGATTCATGGGACTTAAATGATGCACATGTTGTGTGCAGGCAACTTGGATGTGGATATGCTGTCAGTGCTCCAATGTATGCATATTTTGGTCAAGGCTCTGGTCCCATACTTTTGGATGATGTTAGCTGTAGTGGGAGTGAATCCTACTTATGGGAATGCCCTCATAGGGGCTGGGGAGTACATAATTGTGGCCACAGTGAAGATGCAGGTGTCATCTGCTCAGGTACCTGCCAACTTTGTCATATAAATCTTTTATATTTATGTATATGGTCATGTATAACTTGAATTCATGTACAAGTCAAAGAAAGATTTGGAAGCCACAATTATGGCATTTGATATGATCTATAGATAAGTTGAAGATCATTCCATGGGGAGGAGAAAACACAAATCTCACCTGAGAGGGGCAACTCCTGGTCGTCACTCCATTTTCCCATCCAAGCATTCAAAAACACCAGAAGTGGCATCAAAGCAGTGAGATTAGAAGGTGTTGATGCTTCTTTTAGGGTCTCTCAGGACAAACCAATCACTTGTCTTTTGCCACTTTACCCAGAGAAGGGGATAGTTCCTTTTTCCCCCTTTTCTTTTCTTTTTGCACATTAGCTCAATACAACCTGATGATATTGGTTTAGACCAGGAGTCCTCAAACTTTTTAAACAGAGGGCCAGGTCACAGCCCCTCAAACTGTTGGAGGGCCAATTATAATTTGAACAAAAAATGAATGAATTTCTATGCACACTGTACATATCATATTTGTAGTGCAAAAAAAAAAAACACACAAAAAACAATACAATAATTAAAATGAAGAACAATTTAAACAAATATAAGCTTATTAGTATTTCAGTGGGAAGTGTGGGCCTGCTTTTGCCTGATGAAATAGCCAAATTGCATTTGCAGAACCTTCTCATCCAACACCTCCAGGTAACTGGGAATATCTGCATGTGTTTGTGCTATGTTGATGTTGTGTGCTTTCAAGTAATTTCAGACTTAGGTTGATCCTGAGCGAGGGCTGCGTAAATGACCTTGGAGGGCCGTATCCAGCCCCTGGGCCTAAGTTTGGTTTAGAAATTTGAAAAATGAGGATGGGTTTATCCATCCCATATCCATGTAGAAAAAGGGCCACCAGTGTGTAAACCTCCCACACTGAAAAGTATATTTTACACCAATTTCAAATCAGTCCTAGCTGAAGATCTATAACAGGACGGACTTGATCCAGTGGTGTCTTTTGCACATACAGAAAGCATTTCTACTCATGCAAACTAAGAATGTTGTTTTCTGCAATCCCCTCTCTTATGTGTCATATCCAATCCCTGCTTCCTACATATTCTTGCAAAGAAGTTCATTTGGCTGATGGAAGAATTACTCCCTCAGCTCTGTCAGATTATTTTGTACCTGTTCTGTCTATAGGGAAAGGACAGTATTTTGCAAATGCACATAAGCTGCCAGTGGAGAAAGAGTTGAATGCCTCCTCTGCCAGCCTGCCTCTTTTGTAGTTCAATATATAGCCCCCTGTTTTCTTCCTTTAAGATGCGTCATTTTCAGGAACAACAAGTAGGAATGTCTGCATGTGTATGTGCTGTGTATATACCTCTCTTGCTCTCTCTGTGAGTGTGCATGTTTATGTCCATAATGTTTGAGGGCTTTGCTGCAAGACTGAAAGGTAGAACTTCTTGCCTCACTGACAGTGTGTGTGTATTATATGATATCTAACAGTCCTTTTTGCCTTAACTGATGCTTACCATTCATTTCACACTGTTCTAGCTAAAGCATTAAAACATTTGAAAGAGTACTAAAGTGTATCTTTACTTTTTCAGGCGACCCCAGTACAACCGCAGGTAATAAGTGGTTTCACAAATGTTTTTTGATGTCGATCAAATAAATAAATAAATAAATAAATAAATAAATAAATAAATAAATAAATCATAAGGCCTATAAAAGTATTGTGACCACAAAAATACTCCAACTTCGTTAGGCGTTAGGTTAAGAAGCAGAAGCAGTATGTAGCTGAATAACTCATTAGATAAATAATTAGTCAGGACCCTATTGGTATGTTACACAGAAGTAGTTGTATGTTTTCATTCAGTGTGGACCCTCTGTATTCAGTTTAACTTATCAAAAGCCGAACGAAGAATGCAAATGCACTTTTGGTTTGTCCTTAGGTGTTTGTTCATTTGCAAACTTTTTCCATACAATCTAATGGTAGTACAGCACAACCAGTGTGTAGCTCATCATAAAGAGACATAAATGGTTAGGGCATTTTTCAAATTTTCCCACTCAGATAGAATTTTTTTCTTTTTTAAATCTAGATTATTGGGAAGCAGGTTGGGCATCATTTAAAACCAGACTCCCAAATCCCTACAGAAACATTTCTTGAACTAATAATACTCATAATTTATGTTCTCTTTTATTAATGTTATTACAAGTTTGTTAACGAAGAATATATTTCTGGTACTTTTTCAAGGTCTCCGATTGGTGAATGGAAATAATCGCTGTGAGGGGCGTGTTGAAATCCATAACTCTAGTTCCATATGGGGGACAGTCTGTGATGATTTATGGGACTTAAATGATGCAGATGTTGTGTGCAGACAACTTGGATGTGGATATGCTGTCAGTGCTCCGGGTTCAGCATATTTTGGTCAAGGCACTGGTCCCATTTTTCTGGATGATGTTAGATGTAATGGGAGTGAATCTTACCTATGGCAATGCCCTAACAATGGCTGGGGAGTTCATAACTGTGGCCACAATGAAGATGCAGGTGTCGTCTGTTCAGGTACTTCCTGATTTTGGCATATGTATCTTTTGCACTTCTTTATTTTCACATTGAAATATTTGATCACTTTGATATGGCAGGATGCACATTTAACATCTCTTCACAATCCCGTTTTATTAAAACTCTTATACCAACACTCAACCTATAAATATGCTAAAAATGTATCTTCTGTCTACCCAACATCATCCTTAGGATCTTGGTGATATTATGCAATCCTCACTGCATCTGAATATTTCAGTTGATACTGCTCGGACATGGAAAGGAAGGGGACAAAGAAAACATGGGCGGAGATCATAATTAAAAAAGAAAAGGCCTGCCCACTCAAATGTCTATGACTGTGCCTCCTCATCATGAAAATGTTCAGTAAAGGTTTAGGTTCCAGTGACTGCAAAGGAATGTGCTACCATCTCAATATATATATATATATATATATAGTAGGCCTGGGTAACAACGGAAAAATTTGTTTCTAAAATCGATTTGTATTTGGGGTTTTTTTTGTTTCTATATTTAAAATAATTACAAAATTTTCCTTTTAAAAAGTTCGATATTTACAAAATTTCGTAAATGGTAAAAAATTAATGAATCGATTTCCGAAACAATAACGAATCGATTCGTTAATGGCGGACGCGACCGCGAAATATGCTAAAAAACCTCCAAAACCTTCTGAAGCTTCCCTCTCCCTCTGTTGTTGACTGTTGGTGTGATATTATAATTTTTTTTCACTAATTAAACCATAAAACTGGCCCAGACATGCGGAAATAATAACGAAACGACCTCAAAACAATAACGAAACGAATACAATATCGAAATATGAAGCATTTACAAAACGTTTTTGAAAATTCGTTTTTTTTAATAATTGCTCCAGAATGGTTCGTTATCGTTTTGTAATTGAAAAAATTAACGAATTATTAACGAATTACGAATTAATGAAACAAAACCGCCCAGCCCTGATATATATATATGGATACAGATTTTATGGTCATGCTAATGGGAGCAAAAAGAGCCAGAGTCATTGTCATCATGCTGAAAATGCATGAGGAGGAAACACTTCCCTGTTGCCTTAGAAGTGCTATTCAATAATTCAGTTTTATTGTTTTCTGCAGTGCTTTCATTGCTACAACACAGCTTAGTGTAGTTGTAAAAAAGATGGCCTTGTGCAATAAGTGCCCATTGGAAACAAGGTCTTTCTGCATACAATGGAAAACAATTGCCATCTTTCTGCTAAAATGTACACTAAAATAAGACGAACCTTATGAAAACCTCAAGAAAAGGTGCCCCCTCCTTTTCAACTCAGCTCCACAGACATGACCATCCAACCATGGCTGTGGGCCCATCTATACTGACCACTTAGGTCAGATTGTTCCCTGGTCAGCTCTGTGGCATTCAAACCCTACACAGAGCTGATTTAGGGCAAAGCAGGACAAAGCCACCTTCATGCAGCCTTGCCCCATGTTAAAGTTGGGGGATAGTCTGAATTCTGATACAACATTCAGACCATCCCCTGACTTTGGGCTCATCTGAATATTTTGGCTGATACTGCAATAGAACCACTTGCAGCTCTTCTCCCTGCCATCCCATCTTTCTTGGGCTTAGATGACCTGGGGGCATGAGATGGTGGTTAACATTCCCACCCATCCTCTATGTTGTGGTGGTCCCATTGCCTACAGTGACATCACCCAGGGTAATATGGCAATTAGGGAAGGAAGGAGGAGAGAAGGGGTGGTTCCTCTTCTCTACATTCCTTCTCACCCTCCTTCTTTGCCCCATTTCCACGGGAGAAGTTACAACCAATGGGTAGTACCTGTCTTGTGATTGGAGACCACCACAATGTGAAGGATGGGATGGGTCTGTAATATCATACCAAAACAGTATGATATTACAGAGCATACCAGCCATAATGGTGTAGCACAGATGGGGTTTCTATCTTAAAGCAAATCTATCCATGCTGGGGGTGAAGTTCTTTCTAAGTGTCTATGCAATTAGTGTTGTAAGGCTCACTCTGTTTCTTTGATGTAAGAAACCTTGGGGTTGTAATGACTGACCAGAAAGACTCATATAGTTCCTGCTGGCCACCATCACAAGAAGTACAGGTAATGGCAAGGGAGTGGTCATCCTGTGGTGTGGAAGCAGATTTGGTGCCACTGGGCAGCCAGAACTCACTCTCAACTTTGCAGCAGCTGGGGAGGAGGGAGTAGATATAAACAATAGGCCTGGGTAACAACGCAAAAATTTGTTTCTAAAATCGATTTGTATTTGGGGGGTTTTTGCGTTTCGATATTTAAAATAATTACAAAATTTTCCTTTGAAAAAGTTCGATATTTACGAAATTTCGTAAATGGTAAAAAATTAACGAATCGATTTCCGAAACAATAACGAATCGATTCGTTAATGGCGGACGCGACCGCGAAATACGCTAAAAAACCTCCAAAAACTTCTGAAGCTTCCCTCTCCCTCTGTTGTTGACTGTTGGTGTGATATTATAATTTTTTTTCACTAATTAAACCATAAAACTGGCCCAGACATGCAGAAATAATAACAAAACGACCTCAAAACAATAACGAAACGAATACAATATCGAAATACGAAGCATTTACAAAACGTATTTAAAAATTCGTTTTTTTAAATAATTGCTCCAGAATGGTTCGTTATCGTTTTGTAATTGAAAAAATTAACGAATTATTAACGAATTACGAATTAACGAAACGAAACTGCCCAGCCCTAGTAAACAATCTAAGGACAATGCAGTATTTGTTAGAACCTCTGGGATAAGAGGTCAATGTAGATCTGCTCTGGCCTTCAAAATGAAAAATAGAAGGATTATCTTTCTAACAAAAATATAGACTTGCACTTTTCTTTTTACAGTTCTGTGACCTTCGTACACTTAGTCACAAGTGTGCTGTTTATCCCAAAATAGAAACTGCATGGACATTCAACAGATATTTTATAGCATAATTTGACAGTGAATGCTGGACATATAGACATTTCAAATCAAGCCATTAAAGCACTCAGAGAAGTACTAATGGGTTTCTTTTTTATTTTTCAGGTTCACTTTATACAACCAGAGGTAAGTTGCCATTTAAAGAAATGAACACACTCAACTATAGTGATAGTAATATTTTGGATTATGGTGCCCAATTTAGAACAAGCTTTTGGGCATTTTCATCCCAAAGAAACAAATTATTCTTCTCTGTTACTTGCTATTATACCTGGCAGCATGACCTAAAAGCAAGCAGGATTTTCTCCTCTCTTTATTATTATTTATTAATAAATAATATTCTCTCTGTCAGAGCAATTGTCTGAATCTCCAGATGACAGCTTTCCTCTGATATTAACTGGGAAATTGTAGGTGATGACATGTTTAGGAAACTTCCTACTACTGCCTCATTCCTTCTTTTTAACATATGGGGTATTATATACACACATATGCACATACATTTAAACATATATCTGTGAAATCTGAACAGGGACCAAAAAAGAAAGAAAGAAAGAAAGACGAACAGTTATGATACCCTACTTTCTACTTTCTACTTCTGCCTCTTGTCTTCTTTTTAAGATATGGGGCATTATATATGCACAGACATGTAAACATATATCTGTCTGAAACAAACATATTTTAACATATATTTTGTGTTGCATTTGCAGAGCCTCCTCGTCCAACACCTACAGGTAACTGGGGCATATTTGTAATAGATATGAAGTAGGGGTGTTCTTTGTGATTTAATATAAAAGCTTTAGTGAAATTTTTAGTATTACTCTAAAGGATTTAAATCCTAAAATAGATATATAAATTGCATAAAAACAATGCTCTCAGTATAATAGAGTTCATTTCTGATTGTATGGCAGATGCAAAATGGCTTTTTGTGATGGCATCCTAATTGTGGGATAGTCTCCCAATTAAGTTTTATTATGACATTATAGTTATGCCGGGGGGGGGGGGTGCACATTCATCAGAAAGGGTAGACAATGAGCAGTCTTCCCAGGTTCCCCTTTCCATTATTTATAGAAATCTGCCAGTTTAAATACCATTGTGTCTTTCTTTATCTTTTACGTTACACTAGATTACTTTTGTGGTGGTGATCTTCCAATTTCATCAGGGTCATTCAGTTCTCCTTTCTATCCTGGATATTATCCAAACAACTTAAATTGTACGTGGAGAATTAGAACTTGGAACAATTACCGCATCAACCTCACATTTTCAAGCATTCAGTAAGTAGAAGAAGTTATATCGGAAGCAAATTGTTAGAGCTCAGCCTGTGATTGTGTTTAAGGATCAGGGTACTTTGGATGTGGGAATGATGACAATGAGGTTTGTGAAAGCAATAGTGTTTCCAATGATATTGATGCAGAGAATGACCAGAAGATCCCTGTTCAAAGTGTATTTTCTCATGAGAATGTTCCTGAAGGGTGTGGGATGATGGTGTGCTCCCTGAATTGTTACCCATTATTTGGAGCTTGAGAACAGCTCAGCACCTGGCCCAGCTGCAGAAATTAATGTGCAGATAGATAGACAGGATGTTATTAGCCAGAATAGGAAAACAGATCAGTCTCTCAGGCATTCTGCCAGGCTGAAAAAATTGATAAGGGATTCAAGGCTAAAACGAAACCCATTTCTGTCCACTTGGGACATAGCATAATGAGGAGATAAAAGTCCCAAGTACAGGATATGTAGTCAGATGAAGCATCATTTGGAATCAAGTCAATATCTCGTTCCTGTTCCTGGAAAGCCTTGCTTTGGAAAGATTTAAGTGCCTTTGATTCATATTTTAAATTATTGTATTTTATGATCATGTGTTAAGTGCCTTGGATTCATGTTTCCAGTTTTTGGATTTTACTATAGAGGTTTCTGCCTTTGTTTTTCATGAACTTTGTTAGACTAATTTCCTGGACTATTTATTCCATCTTATTGTCCTACCTAGTTGGATTTACCTATTTCTTTAAGGTGCTTTTTACTATTATTGCTTTTTAGTTATCTTCAATAAACAGATTGCATTTCTACTCAACTGTGAGGTGTTTAAAGTCAGAGGGGTTTTCCTGGTCTGGAGTGCAACACAAACAATCCTTTAAAATGTCAGTTCTTTTAAAGGGAAAAGTGAAAATGTGGTGTTACTCTTATTTCCTGAACGATGCACGGAAAACCCCTCCATTTAACAAGAGGAAAATGTGTTTCACATTTTAGGCACACGAAGGGAGTTAAAATCTTAGTGAATATATTGCCACCAATTCCAGTTGTTCTAAGAGTATTTCCCATTATAGCCTCATTTTATGTGTTACTAGAGGGGCAGAACAATTGGCAGGTAGCATTTTTCTTCTTTTACTTGCCTTTCCATCCTAAACAGCTATCTTCACTACTTTGAGGTGACACAGAAATAGTTGGTCCAGTCTCTATTTCCCCTAGAAATATTGATAGGAGGACTATGATGGGTGCATCTGGGATTGTCTTTTCCTCTACAGAATCAAAACAATCTCAGCTACAGCTGCTAGATATTCTTGCCTACATTGTGACTCCATATGTCGCTATCCCCACTGCCCAACACCTTGAAGACAATGTCTATGCAGAGATCACAGCTTCCACAGATTGTTCAGGATGATTGCAATCAAAAGATTACCCCGTTCCATATTTGTGGTGGCAAATCTATGAGAACTTTGCTCCCCAAATCTCTCCCCACTCTGTTTGGGCTTAGTGCTTCTACATAAAAAAAAGTTGACCTCAAATAGCCATTTTAATATTTAAATTTAATTTTTAAATCATAGCTTTTAATCATGATTCTTGTTAATATTAAAGCTATTAAAGTTGAATATCTTCTTTAAAAATTCCTGTGTTAATTATTTCATTTTGAAGTTTAATATGTTTTGATTTCTTGTCACTTCTGTTTTCTTTCTGTGTTCTTTAAGGCACAATGCCAACATTGCAGTGGGCAGGGAAGAGGTGTATCAGTGATTTTACATTCTCTTTCCACCTTAGTTTGGCCTTATAAAACTTTTCTTCCATTGACATTTATTGGAAAGAAAATAACTGTGCTGACTCCAAGGCTCGGGTGCTTATTGGGACTTCTGTATTGGAAAGGACTTTGAAAGCATCAGAACAGAGGCCTTCTCTGAACACCCCCATTTTCCATCTATGAATCCTTGAACAGCAGCAGAGCTTTCTATAGTGGCTTTCTTCTTTGTCCAGGAAGAGAGACACTTATGCCATGCAGCCACTCCTCCACAAAAAAACCTGCTCTCTCATTTTCCAAATGTGTATGATGTATTCAAATTATGTTCTGAAGAGCAGAATATGTGCCATAATTAGTCAGCTGAGGTGTGTGCTGAGATTTGTGATCAGAAAGATATATTGTTTTTCCTTCCCGCAGAACTGAATGTGGACCCGATTATGTGGAGATCTATGATGGCGATCTCGACTCACAACTCGTTGGGCGCTATTGTTCTGATTCTTTCCTAACATTTATTTCAACATCAAATATTCTCAGAGTGCGGTTTCGTACCGATTCCTCAGTAGCATACAGAGGCTTTGATGCCGCCTACTTCTCATTTTATGATCCTTTTGGTGAGTATATGCACACATAGAAGTTTGTATGTGTTAGATACAATCTATCTGCTGATTTTTTCAAATTTATTTTTTTTTATTAAGGATAGAAAGGGGAGATTAGGGATTGAGTGGTCAAAAGAAAAAGAATAGGAGAGGGGGGAAAAACCTTGTGCATATAAAGTGGGAAAAGAATGGTGTAATAGGAAAGTAGGAAACATATAACAATATAGCAAAAAACACAAGAAAAAAAAAGTCTGTTGACTTCCATCAATGCAATCTAGAGGTATGTCCGAATCAGTTATTTCTAAAAAGTAAAATTCTGGCTTCATGGGGAATTTGATTTGAAGATATGTTGGGTTGCTGCTTGTATTTTCTCCCAAAATCTTGTTGCTTCCTTACAGGTCCACCACATGTGAAAGAAACTACCCTCTTTATCTTTGCATTTCCAGCAATATTTTTGTGTATTCTTATACATTATGCTTAGTTTCCTTGGTGTGATATACTAGCGATGGAACATCTTAAGCCAATTCCCTTTTAAGTCCATGGCATATGTTTATTTTAGTTTCCAGTTCCTGATTTTTGACACTTTTCATAAAATCATATTTCTGTTATAATAGGTTAAAGGTTTTATTTTATAAACTAGCAATAGTTGTAGTTTACATTCCCTTGTATTAATGTTACTAGAAGCTTGTGAATGAAGAACATATTTCTGGTATTTTTTTCAAGGTCTCCGATTGGTGAATGGAAATCATCGCTGTGAGGGGCGTGTTGAAGTTCATAACTACAATTCCACATGGGGGACAGTCTGTGATGATTCATGGGACTTAAATGATGCACATGTTGTGTGCAGGCAACTTGGATGTGGATATGCTGTCAGTGCTCCAATGTATGCATATTTTGGTCAAGGCTCTGGTCCCATTCTTCTGGATGATGTTAGCTGTAGTGGGAGTGAATCCTACCTATGGGAATGCCCTCACAGTGGCTGGGGAATACATAACTGTGGCCATGGTGAAGATGCAGGTGTCATCTGCTCAGGTAACCTGCCAATTTTTTCATATAAATCTTTTATATTTATGTATTTACTCATGTATAACTTGAATTCATATACAAGTCGAGGGCAGATTTGGAGCTGTTCAGCAGTGGAACTCTCTGTCCCAGAGTGTGGTGGAGGCTCCTCCTTTGGAGGCTTTTAAGCAGAGGCTAAATTTCCTGCTTCTTGGCTCACGAGGTCTCTTCCAGCTCTATGATTCTATATGTAGACATGATTTTATAGAATCATATAGAATCATAACTTGACCTCATGTACAAGTTGAGGGCAGATTTGGAGGCCACAATTATGGCATTTGATATGATCTATAGATAAGTTGATGGTCATTTCGTGGGGAGGAGAAAGCACTAATCACACCTCGGGGAGCCACCCTTGGCTGCCACTTTGTTTCCCCACCCAGACATTCAAAAACACCAGAAGTGGCATCATAGCAGTGAGATTAGAAGGTGTTGATGCTTCTTTTAGGGTCTCCCAGGACAAATCAATCTCTTGTCTTTTGCCACTCTACTCACTCTACCCCCCCCTTTTTTTATTGCACATTAGTTCAAAACAACTTGATGATATTGGTTTAGACAAGGGATCCACAAACCTTTTAAGCAGAGGGCCGGGTCACAGTCCCTCAAACCATTGCAGGGCCAGATTATAATTTGAAAAAAAAAAACATGAATGAATTCCTATGCATACTTAAAAATAATACAATAATTAAAATGAAGTACAATTTTAACAAGTATAAACTTATTAGTATTTCAATGGGAAGTATGGGCCTGCTTTTGGGTGATGAGATAGGATTGTTGTTGTTGTGTGCTTTCAAGTCGTTTCAGACTTAGGTTGACCCTGAGTGAGGGCTGGGTAAATGACCTTGGAGGGCCGTATCCGGTCCCTGGGCCATAGTTTGAGGACCCTGGTTTAGACATTTGGAAGATGAGGGTTTATCAATCCCATATCCATGTAGAAAAAGGGCCACCAGTGTGTAAACTTCCCACACTGAAAAGTATATTTTACACAAATTTTAAATCAGTCCTACCTGAAGATCTATAACAGAACAGATTTGATCCAATGGTGTCTTTTGCACATACAGAAAGCATTTCTACACATGCACACTAAGAATGTTGTTTTCTGCAATCCCCTCTCTTGTGTGTCATATCCAAACCCTGCTTCCTATATATTCTCACAAAGAATTTTAGTTGGCTGATGGAAGAATTACTCCCTCAGCTCTGTCAGTTTACTTTCTATCTATTCTATCTATAGGGAAAGGGCAGTATTTTGCAAATGCACCTAAGCTGTCAGTGGAAAGAAAGGTGAATGCCTTCTCTGCCTATTTTGTCAGCCTGCTGTTTTTGTAGTTCAATATATAGCCCCCTGTTTTCTTCCTTTAAGATGAGTCATTTTCAGGAACAACAAGTACAAATATCTGCATGTGTATGTGCTATGTATATACCTCTCGTGCTTGCTCTGTGAGTGTGTCTATCAGTGAATGTTTATGTCCATAATGTTTGTGGGCTTTGCTGCAAGACCGAAAGGGAAAACTTTTCAACACAAAGACAGTGTGTATATATTAGATATCTAATAGTGACAGAGTCATAGAATCATTGAGTTGGAAGAGACCTCATGAGCCATCCAGTCTAACCCCCTGCCAAGAAGCAGGAAAATCGCATTCATAGCACCCCTTTTTTTTTCTTAACTGATGTTTACCATTCATACTTTTTTATTTAAAGCATTAAAACATTTGAAAGAGTACTAAAGGGTATCTTTTCTTTTTCAGGTGCACCCAATACAACAGCAGGTAATAAGTAGTTTTGCAAATGTTTCTTAGTGTTAATTTAAAAAAATAAATAAAATAGGTTGTGTTTAAATCTTGAAACTCTCCCAATTTCCTATTCTCAAGTAGTCGGATTTCATAAGATTGACCTTGGTTGAGATAGGTCAGGGTTTCCTCATGAAGTTTCACAGCAGGCAATGTAGTTGCACAAAGCAGTATTGCATACTGAAAACACAAAAATTCTCCAGCTTCGTTAGGTATTAGGATAAGAAGGGGAAGCAGTGTGGAGCTGAATAAATTATTAGTCAGAACCCTATTGGTATGTTACACAAGAGTTATGTTAACTTTCAGAAGTAGTTGAATGTTTTCATTCAGTGTGGAACTTCTGTATTCAGTTTAAGTTATCAAAAGCCAAAGTAAGAATGCAAATGCACTTTTGGTTTGTGCTTGGGTGTTCGTTTATTTGCACACTGTTCCCATACAATCCAGTGATAGTATAGCACAACCAGTGTGCAACTGATCACAGAGGGACATAAATGGTGAGGGCATTCTTCACTCCTTCTCACTCAGAGAGGATTTAATTCTTTTTTAAATGTAGCCTATTGGGCAGCAGGCAGGGCATCATTTAAAATCAGGCTCTCCACTCCCTATGGAAACATTTCTTAAATTCCAGGTGAGATCTAAATAATATGTATGTATATATTTAGAATCCATTGCTTCAGTCAGGACCAGACAGCGATCATGGATTAGGGGCATATAGATTCCTGGAGATCCTTGGAGAGTCATACTCCTGCCCTTGTTTTTGTTGTGTGCCTTCTATTCATTTTTGGGTTTTGGTGACCCTAAGTTGACCCTGTCACTGTTTTTTTGGCACAATTTGTTCAGAAGGAGCTTGTCTTTCTCTGAGGCTGAGAGTGACCTGCCCAAGATAACACAGTGGGTCTCCGTGACCAAGCAAGGTTTTGAACCCTGGTCTACAGAGATGTCATCCAACATTCAAACCACTCCACCACTCTAGTTCTCATATGTTTCAAAAATGCCCTAGAAAGTGTGGGACCAATCTGGCAAAGTCTTTCACTCTGAGCTAGTTTATATTCTGGAGAGGTTTTTTTTTTCCCAGCAAGGCAGGGCTAAGAATTCAACTTGCGGGTCACTTTCTATAGAAAAAGGCCACTTCTGTGCCCACTATGGCCTTGTTGTGGGTGACAAGCATGACAAAATTGCCTTAATACCTTGTTTGTGATCATAGGAATTTGAAGGCAAGATATATTTTTCTAATTTCTTTTTAAGAACTAATTCATTAGGCTACCAAATCCATTAGGCCACCAAAAATGTCTAGAGGGTTGCATATGCCTTTCAGTTCACACTTTCCCTAAGATTATAGTATATGTGGAAAAATCTATTTTTATATATATGCTTAGTATTAAAAATGCACATACCTTTCTTAAGTATTAATGTCTAACTTATATACATGTATTTATGTTTGTTTCCAGGACCACCTTTTCCAACTCCAACACCATCAATGGGTAATTTGGATCTGTTGCATTGCAACATTGTGTTTTTTTATTGTTACCTCAGCACCATTACCTTTTGCAGATAAAGAACAGTCAACATTCTATGATTAAAACTCAGAGTGAATGAATAAAGCTGGTGAAAAACAAGATTATGGTATTAGACTGAGGCCCTTTCCTCATTGCTCATGTATCCCAGGATCTAATCCCAGATTATGTGGCAGTGAAGATTCATGTAATTCAGTTTAAATCAGATAATCTGGGATCAGATCCTGGGAAATAAGGCAGTTTAGAAGGGGCCCAAGTCTCTTTTCAGGTGCCTTTGTGAATTAAAGCAGATGAGGCAGGTAGTTGTAGGGGAAAGGACCGTCTTGGTAGTGGTATTTTGACCCTGGCCCACTTTCCCCACGGAAACAGTTTTTAAAATGATCTTTATGTTATGCTGCTTTGCTGGTTTTTAACATTTTGTCAAATGCTTCAATACCGCTGTTTTATATTTTAGTTTATAATATTAAAGTAATGGCCACGTTTTGTTTGTTACCTTGCAAACTGAATGGTTAAGGATATAATGAATAAACAAGTTAACACAATACAATCCAATACGGAGTGGGTTTGTCTGCTCATTGTGAGAACCAATGGATTGGATGAATGCCCCATCTACACTGCCATATAAAATCTAGATCTATATGAGTCTACATATGGATTCATATAGATTCATATAATCCAGTTCAAAGCAGATAATTTGGATGGTCTGCATTGATACTCTGTATTATATATGGCAGCGTAGATCTAGTTTTAGAGGCAATGTTTTGGAACACTTTGCAACAGGTTGATACACAAGCAAAAACATATTTGATGTTGTTGGTTCCATTTTTTATTGTGTCCAAGCATTTGAAGAGATTTAAGGAAATATGTTTCATTGGTAATGTTTATGGGGGAAAAACACCAAAGTGCAGGAATTTCATGAACTATAGGAACATTTGATGAAATAAAAAGATACAAATCTGGATCATGTAAACTGTTGCTGTTAATTACAGATATACTGTTTTTAATTGTATTTTATGACTATTATGGCATCGAATTGCAGTTAATTTGTAAGCCGCCTTGAGTTGCCTTCGGGTTGAGAAAGGCGGGATAGAAATATTGTAAATAAATAAATAAATAAATAATATATTATATTATATTCTTAATTAAAGATACATGTTTTTTCTACTTTATCTTCTGAATTACCTCTTACTTAATTGTTTTAATTCTTGAAATATTGATACAATTAGATCAGGACTGCATAACCTGCAGCCCTCCAGGTGTTTGGGCCTCCAAAGCCCAGAAGTCCTAGCCAGCAGCTCCCAATGACCAGGAATTCTAGGAGCTGAAGTCCAAAACACCTGGAGAACCACAGATTGCGTAGGCCTGATTTAGATGATGATAATGTAGCATAAACACATTTTTACCTAGAAATGGAAGCATAATTAATGACCTTTCTTGTAATTTATAATTTGACCTTAAAATCAACTATATTGTATCTGATGGTGCATCTACACAGTAAAATTAGCTATCAAAACTTTTAAATATTTTTGACAATCATATTGTGGAAATTGCATTTTTAATCAAGATTGAATACAAATCATTGGCATGATTGCTTCCCCTCCCTCCCCTTCTCAAAATCTACACATACATGTATACATAAAACACATATACTTCAGAACAATGCCTACAATGATTGTTCCCCATTACATTATTTTCCCCCTTCACTTCTCCTGTTGCAGTGACCTCCTGTCCTTTGGGTTGAAGTCATTCGTATACAAGCCCCCAGTTGCGCAATGGATTAAACCCTTGTTCTGGCAGGACTGCTGACCAAAAGGTTGGCAGCTCAAATCCGGGCAGTGGGGTGAGCTCCCATCTGGCAGCTCTAGCTTTTCATGCAGGGACACGAGAGAAGCCTCCCACAGGATGGTAAAACATCTGGGCATCTCCTGGACGATGTCCTTGCAAATGGACAATTCTCTCACATCAGAAGTGACTTGCAGTTTCTCAAGTTGCTCCTGACACGGAAAAGAAACAAAACTTTATCCTTCCTTCTCAGTAAAACATTCACCCATTCTTCCCTCTAGCAAAAGAATCATCATTTAAAAATTACAAGCACAAATACTATCAAGGAGCCTATTCTAAAATGTTTTCCCTTCTTCCCACAAAGTTCAAAGATAGTTCTCATTCCTTAACAAAGTTCTTTTTTCTATTTTGTCCCTATTCATCATAGCCAATTTATTCACATCCCTCATTCTGAAAACTTTCACTATCCATTTTCTTTTTTTCTTCTTTTTTCTCCTTCACCTCTAGCCCCTACACAGGAAAATTAATACTGTTTGACACCACTTTATTTGTCATGGCTCAGTGCAATGGGATCCTGGGAGGTAGTTTTGCAAGGTCCTCTTCTTTTTCAAAAAGCACCGGTGCTTCCATGATTCTTTATAATTGAGCCACGGCAGTTAAACTGGCATCAAACTACATTAATTCCACAGGGTAGATGCACCCCTATTTATTTATTTATTTATTTTCTGTATTTATACCCCACCCTTCTCAACCCCATAGGGAACTCAAGGTGGCACACATATACAGGCAACAATTAGATGCCAAAGACACACATAATAAAAACATAAGCATTAAAACAATCATTGCAACATAAAAACTCCTTTAAAACCAATGATTTAAAATCATGCAATTCAATATTGTAGTCCATGGCCATTCCAATTTGTTGTTGCACTATTTCATTTTTTCTTATTGTACTGATAGATTAATTATTGAATGCTTGGTTGAACATCCACAATTTTAGCCTTTTCCAAAAGGTCAGGGGGGAGGGGACTGATATAATTTCACTTGGGAGGGAGTTCCATTGCTGTGGCGCCAACACTGAGAAGGCCCTTCTCTCATCCCCACCAACCGTGCCTGTGAAGGAGGTGGGACCAAGAGCAGGGCCTCCTCAGAAGATCTTAATCTCCTTGCCGGCTCATAGAGGGAGATAAGTTTGGACAGGTAAACTGGGACGGAACCATTTCTCCATCTAAAAAGATTATGAAATGGTATTATTTATCTCTCAATGTGTATTTAGACAGCTGAAACAAATGGTGTAGGAGCACTTCTATTCTCAGAGGAATAAAGGTCAGATTAAGTTTCACAACCATGTGCTGTCTATAGTAATGCTGTTTTATCTTGATTGTGCCATAGGTAACTCCACAGGTAATTATACTTGTGGCGGTCTGCTTCCATACGCATCAGGGTCATTCTCTTCTCCCTGGTATCCTGGAAATTATCCAAACAATGCCAATTGCATATGGACAATAAGATCATGGAGTGGTTCACAAATCCAGCTCACATTTAGAATTATTCAGTAAGTAGAAGAAACAATTTCCCAGTCAAATGGTTCTTTCATGTTTCATTTCATTTAAAGGCAAAATATAGGGACTTGATGGAACTTAATCAATTTTAAATTGTAAATTTACATTCTATTAGCATTGTGTTTAATGTTTGTATTATGCATTTTGATCTGGGTGTTTTAACTATGTTGTACACCACCTTGAGCCATGGGGAAAGGCAGGATGTTGTTATTGTTGTTATTGTTGTCATTTCTGCTGTGATACAACTTACACATGTACATTTACTGTTGTGAATGGGATGTAGTACAGTGCACAACGTAAGTAACAGTGGTTTAGATTATATTACTGAATAGCCAGCTGCAACTTCACATCACATGTCACTTGTGTCTCCAAGGTGAAAGGAGCAGTTACATATTGTTATCAAAATTAGGGCGCAAATTAGATTCACGTGATAGGGTAATGTTATCCCCCTTCTAAACTGCTGTATACAATCCACTTTGAACTGATTTATATGGCAGTGTGGACTCAGATGATCCAGTTCATTTGTAGTTTGGTGAGGCATCAGCATTTTTTGGCAAAGAAGGCTCAAGTCTGTGGAAAAATTACAGACCTCAGGATTCAATCACATTGAGCAAAGGCAGTTAAACTGGCTTGATTCTACAGATAAATGCTGGAAACTTTGGTGTTCTAACACTTTTGTTTTTAAAGACGGAATTATAAAAGTTAGCAACTGTAATGCACACCTTTCTTGGCAAATTATAAAGAGTGCACTTTTACCACTGTGCATTACATTCAGGGTTTCAAAAATTGAGGTGCACAATAGATTCAATGATGCCTTAGACTCAAGTAAATATAATAATAATAATAATAATAATAATAATAATAATAATAATAATAATTTATTGTGAAAAACACCATTTCAAAAACCAACCACAGCCTTTTAATTAAATGGCACTTGTTTTCTTCATAAATATTTCTCTGTGCTAAATCTTCTTACAATAGTTACCTTATTACAGAACTGGCTTCTTTCAATGGGATGGAAAGGTATATTGAGCATCCCATACTGTATCTCTTCCAACTACATTTCCAACAACAGCAACAGGGTTATATGGCCATGTTCTAGAAGCAGTCTCTCCTGATGTTTCACCTGCATCTATGGCAAGCATCCTCTGAGGAGTGATTCCAACCATGAAAGCCTTCGAAATACAAACAACAACAACAACAGCAATTGATTTCTTGTCCACCTCGCCGCATGTCTCATGGCAGATAGCAATGCTGTAGAATGCACATTCATCTGATCATGATATAGAAGTATAAAATACAACTTCTTCATAATGAAGCAAGAACTATTGTTGGTGTTGACAGTAGGGAGACTGAACAATTCTGCGGCAATTCTGGTATCTCACAGTAAATAAACGATTGTTTCCTATGTTTTGCCAAATCAAATTGGCTAGCAAAGAAGGTGTATGTATAAATCCCCTACCAGTACTGCTCAGATTGGGTCTTTTAAATAAGTTCTTATCCATTGACAATGATGGGAGACAGAGAAAGTGTGCCAGCTCCAGGATAGTGTAATATTTTTGTCCTTTCTTCATGCTGCTGGTGGTGTTGGTGATAAGGATTGCTGTGGTTGAAAGCCCACACCCTTCCAAAGCCTCTTCCATCTACACTGACCTTATAATCCAGTTTCTGAATGCAGATTATCTGCTGTAAATGAGATTATATGAGTCTACATTGCCATATCATCTGATTTAAAGCAAATAATCTGCATTTAGAAACTGGATTATATGGCAGTGTAGATGGAGCCTTTGACACACCTGGGATTGCCTTGTTTCCAATCCCATTGCCATGGAACAATAGTGGAAATACATGAATAATGATGACCGGGTTGTTGTAGGTTTTTTTGGGCTATATGGCCATGTTCTAAAGGCACTTTCTCCTGACGTTTCGCCTGCATCTATGACAAGCATCCTCAGAGGTAGTGAGGTCATGAGGTAATAATGTGAGGTAATAATGGTGACCGTTTCTACAATAACATTGGGAGAGGTCTCTGTCTGTCCATGAGAGCAGACCCAACTGTCATAAGCCATAGCCCCTCAGCAGCCTTCTCAGAGAGGAAGCAATGTGGGTTTACTTTACTCAGTCTGCTGAATTATGTTTAGTGCTGTACTCACAGAAGATTTTTTCCCTATTTCAGAACAGAATGTGGTTATGATTATGTTGAGGTTTATGATGGAGACCTCTATTCACGTGTCCTTGGAAAATATTGTTCAGATTCCTATGTTATATTGACTTCTACATCAAATGTCCTCACAGTTCGGTTTCACAGTGATGCTATTGTAACGCGTCCTGGTTTTTCTGCCTTTTACCATTCATTTTATGGCACAACTGGTGAGTATGTTTACACACACATTCTGTGATATTAAAAAAAATATATTTTTCTGGAAAACTATCCAAACTAATAGAATCCAGATTCTTAGTTTTGTATTAAGCGTAACCATACTGAATTATTTCTTTGGTGCTTTGTAGATAGAATAACTCAAATACAGTTTGATTTAACTACCATGTGTTTTACATGCTCGGTAAAGAAAAGGCAAGTAATTGGATGAGAAGGAGGCAATCATTTTGAAGGTCTTAATAGGAAAGCCAAGAGGAAGATTTCTCAACATCATCGTAGTGTGACACTAAAAGACATTATCTAGCAGTCTATGCTTGCTAATAAATATTAGAATCATAGAATTATAGAGTTGAAAGACACCTCATGGGCCATCCAGTCTAACCTCCTGCCAAGAAGCAGGAAAATTGCATACAAAGCACCCCTGACGGATGGTCATCCAGCCTCTGTTTAAAAGCTTTCAAAGAAGGAGCCTCCACCACACTCCGGAGCAGAGAGTTCCACTATTGAACGGTGTCTATTAAGCCCTTAGTGAATCCCTAGCAACAAAGAGAGCACATAAGACTTCTAATCCTTTTTCTGTGTGTCTGGCATAGAAAACACCTTGCCCTGTGAAAAGCAGAAACATGGAGCAGATCAGAAGGTGAAGGGTGGATCAAGTCTCTACAGCTTAGGCCAGATCCAGACTGGCCTTTATCCCAGGAGAATTCACGTTTAAAAACACAGATTTTCCTGGGGGCCTGTCCACACCCACCCCACACCATTTCTGGGGTGGGCGTCCAAACATTCTCTCAGGACTAGTCCGAAAGAATGTCTGGAGGCCCTCCCCCTCCCCGTCAAGCACCCAGACACCTGAGAAAAGTAATAACAACTTACCTGGTCTCCATTACAAGCCTTGGCCGGCTCTCCCAGCATGTAGAACTGATGTGCAAGGAGGGGAGGGGAGCGATTTTCCTCTGTTATTACCCCCCCCCCCCGGCTCTCCTGGCATGTCATTTCTATGCACCAGGAGAGCCAGTCAAGGCTTGTAATGGAGACCTGGTAAGTTTTTATCACTTTTCTTAGGGGYCCGGGGATTTGGRGGGAGGGGGGATGGTATTCCCACAGTTCACCAGGCTTATTTAGCWTGGCAAACTSTGGGAATACTGTCTGGACTGCAGTATTCTGCAGCCCAGAAATAGTGGATTTATCCCATGCCTTCCAAGAAGGCATGGAATAAACCCACTATATAATTAAATTGCTACATACCAGGGTTTTCCTGGTTTGTAGTGAATTAATTTGGGACTGTCCAGAACGTTGTCTGGACAGCCCCTCCTTTATTGCAGTAGATACCGCAATAAAGGTCCTGTCTGGACAGGCCCTTAGTTTCATCTCCATCCTGAGTGGAGAGGAAGGGACCATACCTGAAAAAACCAAAAAAGGTCATGGCAGAGCTAGAGAGTGAGTTGTGTCTCCTATGCCAGTAAAAAAGAGTTGGTTTATCAATAATTAAAGGATGTAAAAAGCTGTGCAACTTGCCTCTGAATACATGTAAAACCGGAATCTGTTAGCAAAGTTTTTTCTGTGTGTGGTGAGTGTCTGTACAGTTAACTGAAAACTCTGATTACACTGCACTCACCCAGTTGACCAAATGCCAGGACATATCTGACTCAGGAGAACACGTTGCTATGGGTTTCAGAGTCTTAAAGGTAATCGCTATGTCTTAGACTCAAGCTCTAATTTATCTGCAGTCTTGTTGTTGTTAGCTACCTTCAAGTCGACCTCTTCTTATGAATGATAGACTGTCAAGCCCTCCTCAGGTCTTGCATACTCAAACTTGATCTTGCCAGGCAATGTATGGGGAGAGTAATAGCACCTTATAGGCTTGTTTGCATATCACTGTATGTGAAATGCTAATTATAAGTAAGTCTTAGTTTGTATATTTGTGTTTCAATTTGCCTTTCAACCTATGGCAAACCCATGAATTTCATAGAGTTTTCTTAGAAAATGACTACTCTTGCCATGTCTTTCATCTGAAATTGATGGCCATCTCACAGCCAACCAGGACTGACCCTACTTAGCCTCCAAGATTTGGTAGCTTTAGGGCAGTGGTCCTCAACTTGTGGGTCCCCAGATGTTTTGTCCTCCAACTCCCAGAAATCCTAACAGCTGGTAAACATGCTGGGATTTCTGGGAATTGGAGGCCAAAACACCTGGAGACCCACAGGTTGAGAACCACTGCTTTAGGGGCTTTAGGCCAAGTCTTTTTTTTTTTTTTGGAGTACAGCAATAGCAATGTTTACTTTCACTTTCTTCTTTCCCATTATTACTAATGACAGACACTGCTTTAAGGATCTCTTCACATGGGGTATCCCTCCCCCCCCCCCATTTTGCCACTTTGAATTGCAGCAAAGATGGGGCTTGTCATGTGCCATCACATGACTCATGGTAGGCCCTGCCCACATTCCTCCCAAAGTGGATGAGAAGTGTCGAAAGGGAGGAAATTGTAGTTTGAATAGTTCTGGTGAAGCTGCCTGCACTTTCCTCCCTTTTTTGCCATGTGATGGAAGAAAGGGCCACTCTTTCTGCCATCTGATAAAAGGGGAGGAAAAGGTGCTAAAGTACCCTTTCCCATCCCCTCCATGTGATGAGGGGAGGAGGGAGGACTTACAGAAGAGGCTGTAAGCCTTCTACCCAGTCCATAAACTATACCATTCTTCTGCTTGAAAACTGCAGTCTTCTGTCATGGCATCAAGCACAGAAGCTTGGAGGGAGGCTCAGTCTAGTACTATTTATTTTAGTGGATTCCAAATCAATATGGAAGATATAAAGATTATTTTTTCATGTCAGGAGTGACTTGAGAAACTGCAGGTCGCTTCTGGTATGCAAGAATTGGCCGTCAGTAAGGATGTTGCCCAGGGGACGCTCAGATGTTTTGATGTTTTACCATCCTTGTGGGAGGATGCATGCTCTCCCCAGATTCGAACCTGTGACCTGTCAGTCTTCAGTCCTGCCAGCAGAAGAGTTTAACCCATTGTGCCACCGGGGCTCCTGATATAAAGATATATCAATAATTTTGTGCAATGAACATTCATTTCGTCAGTACATCCCATTGAAAAGACTGAGGAAGGAGCCTCAATGCTATCAATATAACAACTTTATTCTAAGAGCGAATTAAATTTAATTTATTGTATGATGAAGAACCTTATACTATTTTCCTGCTAAACAAATTATACGTCAAATAGTGGACAGTGATGTTTGGGGGAAGGACTCCTTATTCTGGAATATTTTCTTTCCTTCACAACTTTTTCTCTTGAACTCTACAATCTGTGAGTTTTTCAGTAATTATTCAGTTCATTTTTTCCCTAATCGTCTCAGAAACTTCTGGAATGGGGATTCCAAGGCAGTTATCTTCTGGAAGGAAAATGATGTGATCAGTGAAGGGTGTCAGGCATGTAGCCAGGAGGGGAGGGGGCTTGGGGGGCTTCAGCCCCCCCCCGAAATTCTCATGGTGGTTCGCGAAAAGGCCTTACTAGTGCATTATTTAAACTGTTATGTTTATTCATATCATGATCTGATTACCCTACTCAAAATATCCCATATGCATGGGGGTATTGGGGTAATAATACAAAAGGTTTGCTAGGGTAGACCCTCTTTCACTCGGACTCATCCCCCCCCCCCCCCCCCGAATCGAAATCCTGGTTACGGGCCTGGAGGATGTTATAAGATTTTTGTGTGTTCTATAGAGTCTATTAGTTTGAAGTTATGATTTTATATTATGCACTTCATTGTCAAATTTATTTTAGATAATAGTATAAAAATGCTGTGAATTCAAAACTACTTGACATCTGCAGTAACCTCTTATATAATCATTAAGTAATTGATGTATCATTGTCATATATGATAATTAGATTAAAACAATCTCTCTCTTTTCCTTTCTCCCTCTTTTCTCTTTCCTTTATTATGATTTTCAGCATGGCCAACTCCAACTCCTCCATGGTGGCCAGGACCAACAAGTAAGCATTGTTTCTTTTGGCAATCTTGAATAGCTTAGCTTTTATTTTAGCAATTATATATTCAATGTTTAACATAATACTTTTAAAAAGATAAATGGAGAAAAGTTTCATTACCACGTTGGACCATATCACATTAGGAAATGTTCCACTTCCGGGACTGTTTGAGAATGATTTCAAAAAGGTCACATCACATGATGTTTGCCCCATCTCACCAGTATTCTGTTGGAATCCATTTGCAAACCATCACAGAAATGGATTATTTGCAGACAGAAATGTAAATATGTTTCATTGGTAATGTTTATGGGGAAAAACACCAGAGTGCTGGAATGTTATAAACTATAGGGACAACATATGAGGAAACGAAAGGAAACAAATCTGGATCATGTAAAATGTTGCTGTTCATTTTAGTTTTGTTGTATTAAATTGTATTTTATGACTATTATGGCATCAAATCGCTGTCTATTTGTAAGTCGCCTTCAGTTGCCTTCGGGTTGAGAAAGACGGGATAGAAATATTGTGTTAAGTTTCACAACCACGTGTTGTCTATAGTAATGCTGTTTTATCTGTGATTGTGCCATAGGTAACTCCACAGGTAATTATACTTGTGGCGGTCTGCTTCCATATGCATCAGGATCATTCTCTTCTCCCTGGTATCCTGGAAATTATCCAAACAACGCATATTGCATATGGACAATAAGATCATGGAGTGGTTCAAAAATCCAGCTCACATTTAGAACTATTCAGTAAGTAGAAGAAACAATTTCCCAGTCAGATGGTTCTTTCATGTTTCATTTCATTTAAAGGCAAAATATAAGGACTTGATGGAACTTATCAATTTGACTTTTTTGGTGAATTATGAAGAGTACACTTTTACTGCTGTGCATTACATTCAGCAACACATACTTTAATTTTTTGGTTCCAGGGTTTCAAAAATTGAGGCGCACAATCGATTTGATGATGCCTTTAGACTCAAGTAAATATAATCATAATATTTTATTGTGGACAACGCCCTTTCAAAAACCAACTACAGCCTTTTTAATTAAATGGCACTTGCTTTCTTCATAAATATTTCTCTGTGCTAAATCTTCTTACCATAGTTATCTTATTACAGAATAGGCTTCTTTTAATGGAATGGGAAGGTTTATTGAAGCCCCATACTGTATTTCTTTCAACAAAAACAATAATAATCCATACTTCAGGAAATAAAGCCTGACTGCTCATTGGAGGGAAGATGAAGTACTTTGGCCACATAATGAGAAGACAGGAAAGCTTAGAAAAGACAATGATGCTTGGGAAAATGAAAGGAAAAAGGAACAGGGGCCGACCACGGGCAATATGAATGGATGTTTTCCTTAAAGTTACTGGCTTGAGTCTGAAGGAACTGAGGGTAGTAATGGCCGACAGGGAGCTCTGGCATGGGCTGGTTTATGAGGTCACAAAGAATCAGAAGCGACTGAACGAATAAACAACAAATAATTGTTTATTTATTTCTTGTCCATCTTTTCTCATGGCTCGAGGCAGATTACAACATTGTAAAACACACATTCACCCAATCATGATATAGGAGTATAAAAATACAGTTTCTTAATAATTAAGCAATAACTATTGTTGGTGTTGACAGTAGAGAGGCTGAACAATTCTGCGGCAATTTTGGTATCTCACGGTAAAGAAACAATTGTTTCCTATGTTTTCCCAAATCAAACTGGCTAGCAAAGAAGGTGCATGAAAAATCCCCTACCAGCACTGCTCAAATTGGATCTTTTAAAAAAGTTCTCATCCATTGACAATGACGGGAGAGAGAAAAAGTGTGCCAGCTCCAGGATTAGTGTAAAAGTTTTGCCCTTTCTTCATGCTGCTGGTGGTGTTGGTGATGAGGATTGCTGTGGTTGAGAGCCCACCCCCCACCCCAAAGCCTCTTCCATCTACACTGACCATATAATCCAGTTTCGGAATGCAGATTATCTTCTTGAAATGGGATTATATAAATCTACACTGCCATATAATCCAGTTTAAAGCAAATAATCTGCATTTAGAAACTGGATTATATGGCAGTGTAGATAGAGCCTATGACACCCCTGGGAATGCCTAATTTCTAATCCCATTGCCATGGAATAATAGTGGAAATACATGAATAATGGTGATCCTTTCTAGAGTAACATTGGGTGAGGTCTCTTCATCTGTCCATGAGAGCAAACCCAACTGTCATAAGCCATGGCCCCTTAGCAGTCTTCTCAGGGAGGAAGCAATGTGGCCTTACTTTACTCAGTCTACTGGATTATGTTTAGTGCTGTATTCACACAACACTTTTTTCTCCTCATTTCAGAACAGAATGCAGATATGATTACGTTGAGGTTTATGATGGAGACCTCTATTCACGTGTCCTTGGAAGATATTGTTCAGGTTCCTATGTTACATTGATTTCCACATCAAATATCCTCACAATTCTGTTTCAGAGTGATGTTTCGGTAACATATCCTGGTTTTTCTGCCTTTTACCATTCATTTTATGGCACAACTGGTAAGTATACACACACATTCTTTCATTTTTAAGAAAAATATATTTTTCTGGAAAACCATCTGAACTAATACAATCTAAATTCTTAGTTTTGTATTATGTATAACAATACTGTTAATTATTTCCCCAGTGCTTTGTAGATAGAATAACTCAAATCCAGTTTGATTTACCTGATTTACAGGCTTAGTAAAGAAAAGGCAAGTAATTGGCAATCAGAGAAGCAATCATTTTGAAGGTCTCAATGGAAAAGCTAAGAGGAAGATTTCTCACCATCATCATAGTATGACACTAAAAGATACCTAACATTCTATGCTTGCTAACAAATATCAAACCCTTAGGCTAATTCATAGCAACTAAGAGGTTGTTCAGTCCTCTTTATAAAAATGTAATTACTGAACCAGGCTACCAACAAAATGATCAATTTTAGTTATAAACGTGCCTCCTTAGTGACACAGATGGCTAACTTTAAAATATTTTGAATTTTTCATATGGCAACGATGCCCACTGACAGCCCATGCTGCAGAAGACAGCAGTCTCCAGACATCTTAGCTTTTGTGCCTGATACTTCAATCTGAGTTTTAAAAAGCTAGTGTAGGAGAAGCCAGATATGATTTAACTAAAACGAGCTGTTGCACCCTACACTGTAAGTCTTAGGCTATGACATAGTTGGGAAACTTCTTCCACCACTTTTTCTTTCCTCTTATATGTGTGTGCTGACTATTTAATGTCTTAACTGTTTGGTTGCATTTGTTGATATGTCATTCAATGGAAGTGAATTCTTACAAAGTTAGTAGAAGTAGGTTAGACAAGTACAGTCATCTGTTTCTTCTTTGATGTTTTGTTCACCTTTGTGCTAATTGCAAAAAAAACGTACAATTCCTTCCTTTAGTTCTAGTATGGTGACCAATTGTGATGTTGAGGAAGGACCATTGCTTATTGGTTCTATTGGATGTTGTTCTGGGTACTAAAGAAATGCTGTACTTCTTTTATAGCCAAGGTTAAATTTTCTAAAGGAATTATCAGGGTCAGCCCTGATTAATACTTGAATGGGGGCCATCCATTGAATACCAATTGTTGGAGGCAATATTTCAGAAGACGAAATTGGCAAAACTACTATTCAGTGCCTAAGAAAACCCTACGAAATTCATGGTGTTGCAATAATACTTGAGGGTGTGCAGGCATACAGTCACACATTCACTAAATAGTCTATTCATATTGTTCTTTTAGACCACAAAGAACCATAAAAGTGTCAAATTATGCCCCCTGCTCTACCTGGTGAAGCAGGAGAAGTGGGCACATAGGACTTTAAATCCCTTTTCTGTGTGTCTAGCATAAAAAACACCTCGTCCCGCGAACAGCAGAGCCATGGAGCAGACCAGAAGGTAAAGCCTGGATCAAGTCTCTGCAACTTAGTTTAATCCCCATCCTGAGTGGAGAGGAAGGGACCATACCTGAAAAAAAAAGTAGATGGCAGAGCTAGAGCTTGATCCATGTCTCCTATGACAGTAAAAAAGAGTTGGCTTATCAATAACTTAAGGACATAGCAACAAAGTTGTGCAAGTTGCCCCTGAATACATGTAAAACCAGAATCTGTTAGCAATATTTTTGTTGTTGTTAGCTACCTTCAAGTTGACCTCTTCTTATGAATGAGCGACTGTCAAGCCATGTTCAGGTCTTATATACTCAGGGCTGCACTTGATCTTGCCAAGCAATATATGGGGACAATAATAGCACCTTATAGGCTTGTTTGCATATCACTGTCTGTGAAATGCATGGAACACTTTAAAGTGCTAATTATGAGTAAGTTTTAGTTTGTGTCTTTGTGTTTCAATTTGCCTTTTGACCTATAGCAAACCCATGAATTTCATAGAGTATTCTTAGAAAAGGACTACATCCATGTGATGAGGGGAGGAGGGAGAGCTCACAGAAGAGGCTGTAAGTTTCCTACCCAGTCCATAATCTATATCATTCTTCTGCTTGAAAATTGCAGTCTTCTGTGCAAGGTCAATAAAAGGTATTGTATCAAGCATAGAAGCTTGGAGGCTCAGTCTAGTAGTATTTATTTTAGTGGATTCCAAATCAATATGAAAGATATAAAGTTTTTTTTCGTCAGGAGTCAGGAGTGACTTGAGAAACTGCAGGTCATTTCTGGTGTGAGAGAATTAGCTGTCTGTATGGTCATTGCCGAGGGGACGCTTGGATGTTTTGATGTTTAACCATCTTTGTGGGAGGCTTCTCTCATGTCCCCACATGGGGAGCTGGAGCTGACAGAGGGAGCTCATCTGCTCTCCCCCCAGATTAGAACCTGTGACCTGTCAGTCTTCAGTCCCACAGGCAGAAGAGTTGAACCCATTGTGCCACCGGGGGCTCTGATATAAAGATATAGCAATAATTTTATGCAATGTGCATTCATTTTGTCAGCACATCTCATTGAAAAGACTGAGGAAGGAAAAAGGAAAAAAAATTAACAACCACTTTGTCAGAGCTGTGCTAATGAAAGTATGGAACAGTTATAAGATCAAATTGTATCCTAAGACTCCAACGTGGATTTCCCCCCTGGAAGCGGGACAGAGAAGATTATTAGGATGGTCAAGCTGGCCCACCTATAAGGACATCCTTATCAAAAAAGACGGCTCCACACTACTGAAAACAAGAGAAGAAATAACCCAAAGATTCAGCATAGTCTCTTGGTTCCAGTTTATACAACGAAAAGAATATTATAAAAAAAAATAAAGAAATAGGCTTCATGGAAAAAGACGACTTCCAGGATAGGATATTAATGAAAGAAAAGAAGACCATAACCAAGATATACAACAAATTGCTGGACTGGGCCACGGAGACAGAACTGGTCAGAGAATGTATGATCAAATGGGCATCAAACATCGGAAGAGCAATAAGACTGAATGAATGGGAGAAATTGTGGACGAAAAAGCTCAGATACATCTACTTGACAGATATGAAAGAGAACTGGATAAAGATATTCTATAGGTGGTACATGACCCCCCAAAAATTGAGCGTAATGTATAAAAACACACAGAAAAAATGCTGGAAATGTGAGACACAGGTCGGAACATTCTATCATGCCTGGTGGTCATGCCCCAAAATGAAAGCCTTTTGGAAAATGGTACAAGAAGCATGCGAAAAAATATTGAGAATAAAGATCCAACTGAAGCCGGAATATTTTTTGTTGGGTCTAACAGACGAGGAAGTGGAAAAAGACCGAAACACGGACATCCTATTCACATGTCTCTCCACTGCCGCCAGAATGGTTGCAGCGAAAAAATGGAAACAAAAGGAAATAGCAACAAAAGAAGAATGGTTGATGAAAATTCAAGAAATAAAAGAAGCAGATAAACGAACTTTTGCCTTAAAAGAATCGTACGGAAGACCAATGTCAAAGACAAACTGGAGAACAGTAGATCAATATATCATGGAAGAAAATAGATGAAAACATTAAACACAAACATTAACCAAGAATGAAAAAAAAATACACACATGAAATTACAAACGAATAGAAAAGAGAGACCAGGCTAATAGACTGCAATTTGGAATGAGAAATAATTTAAAAGAAAGATAACATCAGACTAAGATACAAGTGAAAAGGGAAGACATTCAAAAAGCAAAAGAACACGATGACGAGGCATACCTGAAGAAGAAGTTTGGAAGTCAAAGCTTTTTTATCCTTCTATTACCCTCTTTCTCCCTTCCCCAGCATTCATGATCTCCCCCCTCTCTCCCCCCTTCCCTTTTTTCCCACCCCCTTTTTCTTCCCTCACTTATTTCTTCTTTTCTTCTCTCTCTCTCTCTCTCTCTCTTCCTTTCCCACTCCCCCCTTCTGATGTACTATACACTGATATACTGGTTTTTGATGTACAATTAAAGAGAAATGTATTTAATAAAAATTTATATTAAAAAAAAGAAAAGACTGAGGAAGAAGCCTCAATGCTACCAATATAACAACTTTCTTCCAAGAGCGAATTAAATTAAATTTATTGTATGATGAAGAACCTCATACTATTTTCCTGCTAAACAAATTATACGTCAAAGAGTGGACAGTGATTTTTGGGGGAAGGACTTCTTATTCTGGAATATTTTCTTTTCTTCACAACTTTTTTTCTTGAACACACAGATTGTAAAATAGTTACTCAATTCATTTTTCCCTAATGGTCTCAGAAACTTCTGGAATGGGAATTCCAAGGCAGTTATCTTCTGGAAGGAAAGTAATGTCATCAGGGGAGGGGGGTTATGAGATTTTTGTGTGTTTTATAGAGTCTATTAGTTTGAAGTTATGATTTTATATTATGCACTTCAATGTCGAATTTATTTTAGATAATAGTATATAAATACTGTGAATTCAAAACTACTTGACATCTGCAGTAACCTCTGATATAATCATTAAGTAATTGATGTATCATTGTCATATATGATAATTAGTTTAAATCAATATCTCTCTTTTTCTTTCTCCCTCCTTTCTCTTTCTTCTATTATGATTTTCAGCATGGCCAACTCCAACTCCTCCATGGTGGCCAAGACCGACAAGTAAGCACTGTTTCTTTTGACAATTCTGAATAGCTTAGCTTTTATTTTAGCAATTATATATTCAATGTTTAACTTAATATTTAAAAAAGATAAATGGAGAAAAGTTCTATTACCACATTGGACCATATCACATTAGGAAATATTCCATTTCCGGTACTGTTTGAGAATGATTTCAAAAAGGTCACATCACATGATGTTTGCCCCATCTCACCAGTATTCTGTTGGAATCCATCTGCAAACCATCACAGAAATTGAGTATTTGCAGACAGAAATATAAATATTTACCAGTTGAGAAATTGACATAATAAATGATGAAGATGAAATATGTGAGGGGGGCATGAGGATGTGTCTGTGAGTCCTGGCCCTAATGTATCTGGACATACTGGCACCTCCATTTTTGCATTGAGATAGAAATCCAGAAAGTGGGTCTTTTAAGTGCATTTATTTATGGTTCTGGTTGTGGTTAGAATCTTTATTTAGGAATCCTGATCACAGAGAGAAGTGTTGGAATCTGAATACACTTGCAGGTTCCCTGTGGGCATTTTGGGCTACTGTGGGAAAGCTGGCAGAAGTGGCATGCGAAAAGCCATTGGAAATTATTCACATACTTTGTAGTTCTGGAATACTTTGAGTATTCCATACACCCGAATTAAGTTAATGAATGAATCATTGACAAGGAAGCCCAATAGTGGGCTATTAGAAACAAATATATAACGAGACAATATATTGAAGATACATAAAAAAATAAAGAGTGCAAAATATAGTTGATACAATTTAAACACTTACATCCCAGTTCTCCCTGATAATATGTATTATATGTTTTGTGTTAATTTCTTAGCTTTGCCAACAAACTTTTCATGTGGTGGTTTCCTTCAACATCAATCTGGGACTATTCAAAGTCCGTTTTATCCTTCCAACTACCCAAATAATGCTAACTGTATATGGCAGATACAAGTCGGAAGCAATTCCCGTATAACACTTACATTCCAAAATTTGCAGTAAGTACAATTCTAATATAATGCAGTGAACAAACTACAATATCAAAGTCAATCTTAAACAATGCCCATAAAAAGAGATGTGTATATATATATGTCCATCTAACACATGTTTTGTAAAAGTCATTGGAGCGTGTCTGGGAGACAACAGATTTAAGGGTTGTTTCCAGGTACTGTGATTGAATCCCAGAGCAGTTCCAGACAGGCCTTTATGCCAGACCCATCCGCATTTAAAAAATGCAGATGTTCCTGGGAGCCTGTCTACACACACTCCAGAAAGTGTGTGAGGTGGGTGTCCAGATGCTCTCGCGGGACTGGCCTGCAAGAACATGTAGAGGCCCTACCACTCTTCCCCAAAGCCCCCAAACCCCTTTGAAAAGTAAGGAAAAGTTACCTGACCTCCAGTAGAGTATAGATGGAGCTCTCCCAGTGCATAGAAATGACACACAAGGAGAGGGGGGGAGCGATTTTCCTTCTCTCCCCCCCCCCCCTGCTCTCCTGGAGCATCATATCAATGCTCCAGGAGAACTCTGGCTACAGTCTACTAGAGGTCAGGTAAGTATTCCTTACTTTTCAAAGGGGTTTGGGGGCTTTGGGAAAGGATGGTAGGGCCTCTAGATGTTCTCGCAGGCCAATCCCATGAGAGCATCTTGACACCCAACTTAGAAAGCATGCACTTTCTGGGGTGTGTGTAGACAGGCCCGCAGGAACATCCACGAATGGTTCTGGGATAAAGGCCTGTTTTTCTTACTTTTCAAAGGGTTTGGGGGGCTTTTGGRGAGGGGGTTGGGTAGTCCCACAGTTTTCTGGACTAATTTAGTCCAGAAAACTGTGGGAATGGTGTCTGGAATGCAGTCCAGACACTGGAAGTAGCGAGTTTATCCTGCACCTTCCAAGAAGGCACAAAATAAATCCACTATCTAATTAATTTGCTACAAACCAGGGGTTTCCAGGTTTGTGGTGAATTAATTTGGGATTGTCCAGGACGCCATCAGGACAGCCCATTATTTATTGCGGGAGTTACCGCAATAAAGGGGCTGTCTGGATGCGCCCACAGTCTCCTAGGCAGGATCTATACTACCATATAATGCTGTTTCAGAATGCAGATTAATTGAATTGAACTGGATTATGAGTCTATCCTTATATATAATCCAATGCAGTTAACCTACATTCTGAAACTGCATCATATGTCAGTGTAGATGTGGCCCCAGATGTTAGTTTAAACATTTTGAGTTTTATTATTTGACTATGAAAAAGGATGGATATGTGGATCCTCTATGTGATCTAGAATCTCTTCTTCTAAAACACTGGTTTTGGCTTTTATGATTCCTTGTCTTAAATCTTCAACTTTTACACCACAAACACATTTTGTGTTTGAAAAAAGAGGAAATCAAAATTTCTAGCACAACAGGCCATAGTGTTGCCTGAGACACTCTCAGTGTTGCAGACTGAGAACAAATTTTTTTGCACAGAACTTCAGTGTAGCTATAGATTCATTGTAATTAGTTAACATATAGCTAATAAGTATTTTGTCCATGCTTGCTTTCCAGACTAGAGGTATGTGATAGATATAGATGCCCATGCGATTATGTAGAAGTCTATGACGGACCACCCCATAGTTCTCCACTGCTTGGGAGGATATGTTATAACTCCTATCAAACATTTACATCAACCTCTAACATGATGAGTGTCAGATTCCGCAGTGATAGTAGTGTCACTGCATCAGGGTTTTATGCCAACTATTACACCATCCCAGCAGATCAAAATACAAGTAAGTGAAACTTTATTGTACAATTTTCTTTCATAGGATCATTGTTACAGTTTATTTGTGTTTTTTTTTTGTGGTGCTCAGCTCTGTCACAAATCTTGATGGAGGGTGTGCAGCTGGCATGCTATAGAGTAGAGATTCCCAAAGACATGAAACCAGATAAGAGCTTAGAAGTAACTAATTCTAAACAGCAAGTTTTTTAGGATTGATAAATATGAGCATTTAACTGGATTTTATGAGTCTACACTGACCATATAATGCAGTTCAATCTGCATTTAATGGCAGTGTAGATGGGACCTCTGGTTCTTTCCTGAGTAGTAGATGGATAATTTCTTTCTATGCTTGATTGTATTCTAAAGCGGATTTATTTATTTAGAAGTACAGTAGAGTCTCGCTTATCCAAGCTTCGCTCATCCAACATTCTGTATTATCCAATGCAGTCTGCCTCCCACCCGGATCCACAGCTGTTTCAATACATTGTGATGTTTTGGTGCTAAATTCATAGATACAGTAATTACTACATAATGTGCTGTGTATTGAACTGCTTTTTCTGTCAATTTTGTTGTAAAACATGATGTTTTGGTGCTTAATTTGTAAAATCATAATGTAATTTTAACTTTAATAGCCTTTTCCTTAATCCCTCCTTATTATCCAACATTTTCACTTATCCAGTGTTCTGCCAGCCCATTTATGTAGAATAAGCCGGACTCTACTGTACATACTAATGCCAACCATTCATTTTAAGTAAGCATCCTAAAAGCTGCTCTGACGAAGATAAAATAGCCACACATGTTCGCTAAGCAAGGGTGATATGCTCCCATAGATCACTGTATTATATAGTTCCAAGCTGATGTGGAGGAAATACGTCAAGATTTCAAGTATTGCAATGATAGTTATTCTTCTGCAGGGCTTTCCAAACATATCAACCTTGTCTACATAGTAAACATTGAAGGGATTGTTTATAAAACAAGGGGGGAAAGTATATCTTCTCTGTTTCAATACACTAACAAGGGTTCTTTTTACCACTTGTCAGATCTTCTCTGCTTATCAGAATATATGCAAGCAATCATTAGTAGGAGATATCTGAGTACTGCAGGGTACTCTCCATGGGATGTCAGTTTGATTGACTCTTCCTGCAGACCAAGGATCACACCATCTTATGTGATATTCAACATACCATACAATGGCTGCCTCACCAGAAGAAATGTATGAACATTCATAATTTGTTTTATCTTCATGGCTTCCTCTATCCTCTCTCCCTCTATGATATATGATTTTTGATGTTAGTTAGTAAGACACTTATCTTCATTTTTATTGTTTTATAGTTAACGAACATGGTTGATCATTAATAAAAATAGACATGTTGGTAACTGCACACATTGACAGTTTTTTTAAAAAACAGCTACTTCATTAACTATATTTATTTAATAATTAATACAAGAACGCATGAGCTGATGCATGATTAAATCTCTGTATCTTTACCATAGTTACAATCGCTGTTTAGTCTCAGTTATGTCATTGTTGCTACAAGCATAGTTTCCCCTCATGTCTACTTTACTGGACATTAGTTACATGGGGAGGAGGAAAAACTCCTTCAATCAAGTAACAAAAATAGTCAATAGCATGTTGGTCAGGTTGGGGGTGAGTCTAGTGAGGAGAGATTACTTAGACCTCATCTACACTGCCATATAATCCAGATTATCAAATCAGATAATCCACATTATCTGTTTAGCACTGGAATATATGAGGCTAAAGTGCTATATAATCCAGTTTAAAGCAGATAATCTGGATTTTATATGGCAGTGTAGAAGGGGCCACTGTTAAGTTTACTTAAATAAGTAGCTGGCATAGAATGCTGTAATTATCTATATGCAATATATTGCCTAGACATTGATAGCATAGACAGAGTTATCAAATGACAGGACTTGGCAATCACATCTCAAGCTCGTATTATAGGATAGTTCTATTTTTATTCTAACATTAGGAATGACTATGTTAGGGATGTATTTCTTTAGTACATTTCTTATCAAAGGAAGTAATAGATAACTTTAATTTATTTCTTCCTGGGAACCACACAGTTTTCAAAGTCCATCCATAATTTGGGACTTCTACATAAAATGCACACATGATCATATTGCATAGAAATCAACACTTTCCATGCAGGAAACGGAATTTTCTACGTTGGACATAATATTTCTGTATAAAGATATTGTTTTCTGTGCAAAACAATTCACTGTGAATTTTACAAAGGTTAAGTCCAGAAATGCAGATTATTTTTATCATTTCACGTCTTCTTGTCAGGATTTTTGAACACATGAAGAAGCATGTTTTTCAACCATTTTGGGAATATTTTGAATGTTCTTCCCATCCCTGTTCACACTTCTGTCTAAAGCAGTGGATCTCAACCTGTGGGTCCTCAGGTGTTCTGGCCTACAACTCCCAGAAATTCCAGCCAGTTTACCAGTTGAAAGCCAAAACATCTGGGGACCCACAGGTTGAGAACCACTGGTCTAAACACATTTGGGACTTAGACCACACACTATTTAATGATATATGAAGTGATAATAATGGTCAAGATAAAGCATACTTATCTTAGAAATGTTGTTTTGTTTATGTTTTGAACAGGCTGATGCTGATACAATCATTTATTCAAACCTGATCACAGTGTCTGCTCCAGGCAGTGGGGCCATAATTAAAAGGAAAAAAGACCTTCACTTGCAGGTCAACTGCAAGATGCTGCAACACACTTGGATAGAAACCATGTACATTGCTCGTGACGATGATTTGGTCAATGAAACTCAGTACGGGCAATATAGTGTCAACCTTACATTTTTTGACTCACCGAACTTCTGGTATCCAGTGTATGACACACCCTATAGAGTATCATTGGAACAGAATTTATACCTGCAAATTGTTCTTCATAACTCTGACCCAGATCTGCAGTTATTTTTGGACACATGTAAAGCATCACCCCACTATGATGATTTTACAACTCTGACCTATCCTATCATCGAGAATGGGTAATGATTTTGTTTTCTACCATCATTTGTTGGGTTAGCTGGTTTTCTATACATAATATACAAGCTATAGTGATTGTAATGTTTTTAAATGTTTAATATGTATTAATTTTAATTAGTAATTTAAATGTTTATTTCAATAGTATGTTGTTTTAAGGCATTGCCTATATGTAAGCCTCCTTGAGTCCCCTTCAGGGTTGAGAAAGGCGGAGTATAAATAGGGTAAATACATAAATAAATAAATAATAATAATAATAATAATAATGTAGGATTTTTTATTTCTGTATATGACAGAATACTAAAGAGATACAATATTAAACAACCACTATGGCCTTTTAACCACTCTGTTCAGAGAAAACAAATTCATAACATTATCAAGCAATAATTAGAATGATTCTAAAGTTTAAACCTGAAATATGAACCTAAAAGACAAGAAAACAAATTACACAATGATTAAATATATATTATATCATGCACAACCTCCTAGAAAAGCCATTGCAAAATAGTAATTCCTACCACTAAGTATCTGTGTTTGGGGAACATACTAGACAAGGCTGGAAGCCAACTTGTAGCCCATGGTCTGCATCCATCCTCATTCAGCTCTGCCTTAACAGTCTAACTCACATTGAAAGGGAAAAAATGTAAAAAATATAGTAAGTGTTTCAGGCTTTAGCATCTATCAGCTCTAAGGGAGCTGAAGTTCATTCAGAGGGCTATTGATTCTTTATGATGGCATAAATGTGCATAATTCTTAGGAAATGAAAGCATGTCCTGAGAAGCAATTAAAGGAGCAGGGATGCTTACATTGTACTGGTATTGACAATAACGAGGAGCAGAATGCTAAACTATATCTTACCCTGCGCTATATGATAACACTTTGAGAGCCCTGAGAACTTGGTGGGATGTTTCTTTTAGGTGATGAACTGGGGAAATGATTTAAATGTTATATTGCTATTTCCTTTCTCCGTGAAATTTAATGTGGCTGTAGAATACTCATAGTTTGAATCTATGTGACCAAGAGCAGAAAATACACTACCCAGGCTCAGCCTGCTGTTGCCACTGTTTTGCATAGATTAATTTATACCTGCATAAGTACAACATGACAGTAACTCTATTATGCAGCTCAAATTTACCTATATCTGTGGTCACCCATAAGAGGACAAGCACAGTTTGGAGTTTACCGTCAAATTAGCTTAGTGGCAAGAATAGAAAGAGCTAAATAACTGGATCCATGCTGACTATGTTTAAACTACAAATTTTTAAAAAGCAGAAATTAAAGAAATTGCAGTAACAAAGTTGGAATGTTCAATTTAGACTGTGCTAGTTAATTGTAAACATCAAGTTAATATAGTGTTGACAAACCAAATCTTCCTCTAGCTGGATTGAAACCTCCCTCTCTCTGAAGGAGTGGTATCTAATTTGCATTTTACTAGTTTCCTTGAAATTAAAATCAGATACTCATGAAACAAAAATGCATGTGACATTTGTATGCACTATTTAACCATGTGTTTGCATTAGCCAAGATGTTCCTTGTTCCTGGTGTGAATGATCCTGAAACAGTATTCAAATTTTATATTGTATTTGCAATTACGTAGTTTGAAGAAACATCATTGGTACTAAAGTGCACTTAAGCAACTGTCATTATAAAAGTTATGATTGCACAGCTTTTAAAAAAAAACCACATTTCCTAAAAGATTATTGGCATGGTAAAAATAGGATTAAAAGAGAAGATGAAAACTCTAAAATGAAATTGATTTAAAAAGAATATTTATCTATGAATATACATCCTTCTTTGCTTCTAAAATGTTCCACCACATGGTGTAATGGTTTGAGTGACGGACCTGGTATTCAGGAGACATCTTTATTTGGCTGTAGAAACCCAGAACTACTTTTCCACAATCACACTCTTTGGAGAAAGGCAATTCCCATCTGAAAAAAAAATTGCTGGAAAAAAACCCATGATAGTTTTGTTTTAAGATTGTCATGAGTCCGAAATGACTTGAAGGCACTTAGCAACAAAAATATATATCCTGCTCCTCTTCTGAAATGATCTATGTAGTTGTGTTTTCTGCAACACCGCTCCCATGTGGACAGTTGAATGGACTAAACCGCTTGGCTTCAGCACCACAGAACTAGAATCTGATTGTATGTTATCCAGAATTGGGGAGTGAAGAAGGGTTAATAGTTTACCCCTCTATTTGCTCCATTTCTGCTGATATGCATGTTGTGCAGTTGATAAACACAAGTGTCATTTCATCTGCTACTTTGTAAGCAGACAAGACTATTAATGTTTTCTAGTTATGTTGGGTATATTCCCTGAAGCACGAGAATCAGCCCTTCTCTCAATGCCAGTTGCTGGGAATCACAAATGAGAGGGTGCTATTGTTTGTTTGTTTTTTCATGTCCTACTGTGAACTTCTCATAGGCATTAGGTTGGCCACTGTACGAAGAAAATGCTGGACAAGAGAATCCTTTGGTTTGGTCCAACAGAGCTCTCCTCATGCTCTTGTGCTGGAGTACTTCTTTCTACATATCTCAATCCTTTATTCAAATGACAATCTTCAATAAGTACTTTCCACATGCATACCAAATATGTGCGTGGAGGCCACATCTGCTGACCTTGATTTTTGATTGTCTGCTCACAAACAGCAGTACGCTATAACCTTTGGCTGTTGAAAAGTTTGCAGATATGCAGGTGGGGCAGGGCCAGCATGCACAGTCTGTTTCTCCCTTCCTTTCCTCTCCATTTCTGGGAAACTGTGATTCTCCAGATACCCTTGCTGGCATCCATGTTTTGGGAAATCCAATCCTACATCCATGTTTTGGGAAATGAACAAACTGACTCATTGTTAAGTGACATTTTGGACACAATGTCAGAAACTAAACTCATATTTTGATTTAATTATGGAAATGTGTTCTTGGAGTGAAGCGTATTTGTATTTATATTGGGTTAAATCTAGATATATTCAGACCTGAAGTAGATCCATTTAAATGAACAAGAATGAAATTTGTCACTATAACTAACACAACTACCATTAATTTAATGATTTTTCTCTGAGTAAATCTGGATCTACCCCAATTAAGCCAGAGCTATGTTTTGTTCCAGTACCATCAAAAAGCACTATTGTTCATGTTTATATTAATTGTATGTCGTAATTAATGTAATGCAATGCAATGTTATTCAATTCTGTTTTCATACAGCTGTATTAAAGATGGGACCTATCGGACTTACAATTCACCAAATAGACGGACACTTCGGTTCTCCTTCCAAGCCTTCGATTTCATCCGTAGCAATCCATCTGTTTACCTGCAGTGTGAAGTGGTGGTGTGCAGAGCTTATGATTATAGCTCCCGATGCTATCGGGGTTGTGTTCATGTGCCTAGATCTAAGAGAGATACAGGCTCTTATGAGGAAAAAGTCGATGTCATTATTGGACCAATTGAACTTCAGCAGAATGGCATTCAGAGCAGAAATATTGGTAAACCAAAGCAATACTTATCATAGATCTCTTTCGTCACTCTTCCAATCCAGTTAAGATCCTGCCTGTTTAGAGTTATTGTAGACTGGCAAGACTAAAGAACAGCACATTGGGTGACTTGTGTCTTTGAGAGAGGCAGCAGCACTGTGAAACAGGACATAATTTGAAATGAGAATGGTGACCACTGTCTTGGTCAGTATTGTAAGATGTCTATGATATACTTTAGTTCCTTCTTTACCCAACCACTAATAGCTGGTGACATCCATATTAGTGGGGTAATAAAACTATTCCAGGTTGTAGTGGGAAACCTGGAAGGAAAATCTAGTATGTCAGAATTGACTCTCTAAATATATGTGAAACTCTGAGGATATTCACTGCCCCACTGAGATGGGAGCCAAAAACTGCTGCTGCATATTTCCACTTCAGAGAAGCTCAGGATAGACAACAGTATTATGGAAGTCAGTGGCCCCTTGCTACTGGAGTGGGAAGGTTGGAATTAAGCATTTTGATGACATGTCAAGCATGTAATGCATCACGTTTTTTCTTATTGATTTTCAGAGACAGACCAACAGGTACCAGAAAATATGGAAGCCCATCATTCCCATGCACCATACATTGTTGCTGCTGTCGTCCTTTCAGTTGCTGTCCTAACTCTTGCAGGATTTGTTTTGAAAAATAAATGGAGAAGACCAGTCCCCTATGAGATCATGTGAGAGCTTAGAACATCGGGACAATATTCAGCAGAGAATTCAGCATGTCTAAACTAATTTCTTTGAATTATGCAGCTGTTAGCGTGTTGTAAAATCTCACATTTGGAAGCAGATTTACTATACTGGATTCCCATTACCTGTGATTCATGTTGATTTTGCTTATCTATGAAAATATAGGAACTAGAAAATGTATTGTGCATGATTCACCCTTGAGAGACACTTGAAAGTTTCACTGAAGTCTCCTATCTGAAATCTGTTATCCAGAAAAGATTTGCAGCATATTTTTTAATTCTCTGTTGTATAAGCAGAATGTATAAGTACTTTGGTATTTTTGTTCAATTGATTCAAGTAAAAAAATATCAAACCTTCAGAACTCAAGCTATTTCTTGCCAGCTCAATGCGATAGAAAAAAAAATTCCCTGAAGTGTTTCTGGCCGTTTTGTGACCAAAACCTAATGACAATAAAGAAGCTGAATCCTTTACTTTTACTTTATTTATTTCATTTCTTTATTAAGAGACAAAAGTGGCTCACAGAAGAAGCCAAACTGCAAAACTGAGGTTACAACCATTCCATTACAAAAGTTCGGCTATGAAGTTAGAGAACAAATCAAGACAACTAATCAACTATCTTATTAAAACCAAACACTAAATTAAAACATTTTAAGCAAGCATTTTAAGATGCCCTCCTTTTCCTTACATGGTCCTTCCACTGGTGTTAAGAAAAACAAACTGAGTAAAAAGATTTTTGCCTGCTGAGCTCCAGCACTTCAATAGCACTTTGAGCACCACTATGAAGGTGTTATCACATTTCCTCAACAAACTTTTGCCTGTGACACAGGACCTTGCGGCACATGTAAGATGTGTCAAGACCCAGTCTTTTATGTTTTTTACTGAGAACTTCATAAAATACAATTTTCATTGTGTTTCCTTTACGGCAATTATTATTCATTTCATTTCATGATTGTTACTGAAAATAGTTCTATAGAGGAGGGGGAAATTAAATAATTCTGCATGACTGTCTGATACACTATGTGGGCCACTGGTTTTATAAACATCAAGGCTGTAATACTTAGTGACAACTAGGATCAATAGAACATGCTGTATTGAATCAATAGGACTTACAGTTTCAATACATTGCAAAGTGGTAGGAATTGAGTTGCTTTCCAAATATTGTTGAATTTACCACCATAGTCAAATGTGATAAATGTTGAGAGATGTAATCCAACAATATCTAGAAAGTGACAAGATTCTAACCCTGACATACTGTTTTTTTTTCATGGATTCATTGAGGCAAGTCTATGGGCCCATCTACACTGTCATATAAAATCCAGATTATCAATTTTGAACTGGATTGTATGGCAGTGTAGACTCATATAACCCAGTTCAAAGCAAATAATGTGGATTATCTACTTTGATAATCTGGATTATTTGGTAATGTAGAAGGGGCCTAAATACTCATGATTTGTTCCTGGAGGTGAGAAGACACTCATCCTCTGCACTGATATGTTGGATATAGTTGGGCCAAGATCTAGTTGGGCCATTGGACCTCATGTCATCTTCCATGTTGCCACAACTTCTCCAGCCAGCCATGGATCCAAGCACCTCTCCCTCATGGATACCCCTTCTGACATAAGCAGAGACACCCACATAGCAAGAAAGGAAGAGGGGAGAACAAGGGGAAAGTGGTGGTGCATCAGCCTGAATTGAATCCAGTCTCATTGTCTAGACTGCCACATAGCCATGGGATACTCTGGAGTATGACTTTCCCAAAGTTGGACAAAGGTGGTTCAAGGCCACAGTATTTGCTGGAAGTTTGCAATTACTGATATGAAATTTAGACTGCATTAAAATGAGAGGGAACAGCCTGGTGAGCTACCAACTACAAATAATAATAAACCCAAAGTTCCAGATTAAAACTCACCAGTGAAACGAAGGCACAGGACAGAGGCAGTTAATGTATTTTGATCAAAATGAATACTAGCAGAGCTCCTGCCCAAAAGATACCAGCATAAAGGAGCATGTGCTTTGTACAACAGTTTTTATACAACCAGGTCCATTGTTTCAGTTTGAATCCTCCCTCTCCTTTTTCTGGTTGGCCAGAGATCCACTGGGTAAGATCTACTTCGGGATTGGTCCAGAGTGGAGATTTCAGGGCCACCCCAGCTTGGATATGTGGCCTAATCAGTTTTATATTAAACAGAGGAAAACAAAATAAGTACATTCCAAGTCTTTGGTCCAGGAAGCAGACAAACAGGTTTTTCCAAGTAAACAAAGGAGAGTCTTTAGGGAGTCCATTAACTGAAGTGGCTGTGGAGCTATTGCTTGGGGGCTGAAAGTAATCCTGATTAATGACTGTAGCCTGGGCCAGACAGTATACAATTTACATTTTTAAGGATAAAGTAGAATAAAAGTATAGTTTATACATTTCAGACCTGGGAAAGAGATACATTATACAAAGGATAAAAATAATATAGCAAAGAATGCACCAACATGTAAGTCCTGGCTTTGGATGTCTAAACCAGATTATGTCCTTTTTTAAACCAGACAGATAAGGGATGTTGCAATGACCCAAAGACTCCCTTTGTATTGGGCTATGCCTTGGGGCCATTTCTCACTGTGAAACAATAGCTGGGATTTGCTTTTTGGTTTAGGTCAGGCAGAGGTTAATGTTTTCTGTCCCAGAAGTAAAAATGGAACATTTTTAATAGATTTATAGGAATGAAAGTGAAATAAAATATAATTTATAGAGGAGAAGAAGAAAGATCTGGGGTGATAAGGAGGCCTGGGAGCTTGATGCAAAAGAGAGGGTGCTGCTGTATCTCATTCTGGCTTGCTGATTTGGAAAACTATAAATCCCCAACACTAAAACCTTAATAAAAAAAAGGTTGTTGTTATATAACTGAATGGTGTTCAATAACATTACCATGGAAACAGCCAAAAGTAAATTTGAGGTGAGTCCAGGTTTCCTTGTCTATGTAGATGTGCCCTAAGACTACTTTGTTTGGAAATCCCAACCAAATTTCATTATAACCAGCTTCTTAAATGTTCAGCAATTTGTCATGCTTCTTGTGGGGTGTGTGTGCAAAGTTGATTTGTGTGTGTGTGCAAAGCTCACCTAGTTGACTATGTCAAAGTTTCATATTGTTTAGGTCATTTCTTAAGTGAAAAATGGGTAAGTGATTGTAAGAATCATGTCCAATCATTATATGGCCAGCAACAATTAAGCCACCTGTGGGAGTTGAAGTACTACTAATAGAGACTAAGTACATTGTATTACTTGAGGCTGGAAATAGGTTGGAGAAAGGTTGAAGATTGGAGAGAGAGTTTGTAGCCCAAGGCTGGAGCTGCCGAAGGTGTATTATTGCTACAACGTCTGAAGAGCAAGACTGTAGCGTTTTATCTGGAGATAAGGACTTTGTGTTTACAAACCATTGTGTGGAAGCAGCTGGATATTCTAAGGACTCTGCTATATTTGTAAATAACTTCATATAAATATTTCTTTGCTAAAAGACAGTTTGTTTCTGTTGGGTTTTTCCTCCTTGGACGAAGGGGCGCAACTTCCGCCGAAGGGGTTGAATGTTTGGAACCCCAGTTTGATAGCTGCGACAGACTAAAGTCATTAGCATTGATAATTAGCTAAAAGATCACATTGGCAGCACGGCATTCAAAGTTCCTGATTTGGCAGGAGAACGTGTGGCAAAAGCCTGTTTCTCCAGGAAGACTGCCTGCACCAAACCATAAATTCATTTTGTTGATTTCTAGCTAATTGATTTGCATACACCTCTTTGCCATATTTCCTATTTTCACCACTCCAATGTCAACATTTTAACAACATAATGATGGTGCTGCTCACACACTGTTTGTGGAAGATTGCTTTTTAAAGTACGACAAGAGTATCTTCTACTCATATAAACGTTATATGATCCAAAGATAAACTCTTATATGAAACCTGCTTTGTCTGGTTCTCTTTTGTGGCTATGCTGAATAATACATTCATGTGAAATTTCCTTGTTTACAAATGCTCTATTTTCATTTCCTCCCTCTTTTTGGTAGAAATTGTTGTTGATAGATCTCAGATTGTTTTGAGGTTCTGGCTTCACCTGAGTGGTTTCTCATTACTTCTGTGCCACTCAAAATGGCAAAACCTGAGATTCTTGCAACCCCTTTGATTCTTTATTCATCCTACTGGTTTCCATTCCCAGATATCTCTATTACCTTATCTTTAACAAATATGTACTCTTGCTTTTGTAGCTCCAATAGTAGGCTCCAGACAAATTTACCTGTTCTTTGATTTTGCTTATATTATCATTCATTCAACTTTCTTCCCACAAAGTAGTGGTGTACCAAGGGGAATGGGGTGAGAATGGACCTCCCCATAAAGGTTGCTCTGTCTATCATATGTGTGCTATGTGTGGATATGGGGAGGGGAAACAGAACTGAGTGAGCCCTCAGTTTTTAACTTGAATAAAGTAAGTTCACCCCATTATTTTGCTTATTTTTTCAAGCCCTTATCTTGGAGGAAGTAATGTCCTCAGTTTTTAACTTGAAAAAAGTAATTTCACCCCATTATTTTGCTTATTTTTTTTCAAGCCCGTATCTTGGAGGAAGAAATGAGGAAATTTCTTTCCTCATAGGATACAGTTCCCCTTGTTCTCTTTTCTCAAGGTGCACCTACACTGTCAAATTCATGCATTCTGACTCCACTTTAACTGCCACCTTGTAAAACTACAACACCCATGATTCGATATTCATGATTAATGCTTAGGAGCCTTCTACACTGACCACAAAAGCAAGCCTAATCCAGGATCTGGGACACCAGATTGGGACCGCTCAGCAGTCTTCTTGGGACTCCCTGAAATGTTTGCAGGATGTTGGGCAGCCAACTATCTTTCCATAGGTATGAACAGATGCCACAAAAAATGTAGGAGATGTTGCAGTTGTTTCAATATATGACACTGAGAGAGGGATGACTCCGGGCCACCTGAGCTTAAGTAATACAGGATGACAATCAAGTCAGCTGCCACCACTTCTGGTTCGGAACCAGTCCAGCTTTCTTGGTAGCTCATAACTGGAGGGAGAAAAACATATCCTGGGTGCATATGGCTGGTGCTTCAGTACTGTGAAAATCCAAAAAGCTTGGAGGTACACATTTTTGAACTTCTAAACTTCATGTTATGCAGTTCTTACATAAAAAGGGGGTATGTATGAAAATGAAAATTGCACAGATTGGGAGATGTTACATCACTGCAGTAAGATCAACATGCTTTGAGATATGCTTTGTGTGGTAAAAAGAGGAGCTAAGCAGACACCTCCCATTTCAAGCAAGGCAGGTTAACCATGGCAAAAGCTGTTTTCAGATACCGTAGGGTCTTGCTTATTCAACCTTTGCTCATCCAACATTTTGTATTATCCAACGCAATCTGCCTCCCACCCAAATCCACAGCTGTTTCAATGCATTGCGATGTTTTGGTGCTAAATTCAT